ACCCACAACTAAAAATACACAACTATGTACTGGGGGCTTTGGGAGAAAAAGGAAAAATAAAATCTTTAAATGCTAGCTGTGTATTGATGACCCAAATTCCTGTCTCCAGATCTGAACTGGCTCCTTGTTTTGTCCACGGCAAATTATACCCAGAGACTGAGATTGTCCTTGCCAATAATTTATTTTCTGCGGATTCACTGCGGGAATTATAATAATAATATTTCATAAGCCAGCAGCATAAGGATAATGTCTCCTAGTAAACCAATAAAGAAAACATACTCCTGGCGCCAGCCCAGTGGCGCAGCAGTTAAGTGCGCACATTCTGCTTCTCGGCGGCCCGGGGCTTGCTGGTTCGGATCCCAGGTGTGGACATGGCACCACTTGGCAAGCCATGCTGTGGCAGGCGTCCCACATAGAAAGTAGAGGAAGATGGGCACAGATGTTAGCTCAGGGCCAGTCTTCCTCAGAAAAAAGAGGAGGATTGGCAGCAGTTAGCTCAGGGCTAATCTTCCTCAAAAAAAAGAAATATTCTCCAAACCAGTGATAGATTAATTACACTATTGTTCCATGCAAAGGGGAGATGAAAGAAATAAAGTCCAAGTTTAGTTGAGAGGTGACTTTCTGCAAGTTGGTTCTTGGTAGGGTCAGGCCTTCCAACCAAAAGCTGAGTATCAGCCACTGGCTTAGGTCCCTCACTGCTGGGGCGCAGCTCGTGGGTGATGGCCCAGGTTTGGGGCTGCTTGAAGGTTATTATTCCAGGGACTGTTAACAGCTTGCACGGCTGCCTGCAAGGAGGCGCCTCCCCAAGGCAGGGACGGATGTCCCTTCCTGACGCTGCCGTGTGATTTAACCCCACGGCCGGCCACGGACCCCCAGAGCCTGTGTCTCCAGATCTTCAGAGAGCTGCTTAGACGGTCAAAGAGCAGCCCTGCCCGGACCGAGCATTCTTGGTGGATCCTCACAAAGCCTTGGTATGTAAAGTGTAAATGCCCCTTACGGTGTCCCGGCTCCGCTCCTCCACGTGCCCCCATCGATAAGCCCCGACAAGGCCAATCCCTCCTCAGGGCAAAACAGCTTCAATAAGCCATAAACAAGTGGATCAAAACAGCTTCACATAAGCCATAAACAAGGGGGTTTGAAATCATAACACATCATAATCATTTGTTGTGACTACAGCACCCTCCTAAAACGCCAGGCTGGTGTATCCTTCTGCCCACTTGGCATCTCCAGTGTGTAATAGGTATTTTGCACTTTGCAGATCCAAAACATACCCTCATTCTACTTCCAGTCACCCCCAAACAGCCACCTGTAGTCGTTCCCATCTCGGCAGGAGGCAGCTCCATCCTTCCAGAAATCTGCAGGCCCCTTTAACCTCTTCCTCTTACATCCCTACCCAGTCCTTCCACAGATCCTGGACCTGCTTTCAGAACATAGACAGTGTAACCCCTGTATGGTTACTGTTACCACCTTGCTCTCACTGGGATTATTGCAGAGACTTCCTAGCTGGTCTCCCTGCTTTCACCCTTGCCTCTTTATAGTCTGTTCTTGGCACATAAACCAGATGGACATTCCTCTGCTCAAAAACTTCCATCTCATTCATGGCCCGAAGAGCAGTGCCACGTCTGTGCCCAGGATCTGAACCCCCGAAACCCAGGGCTGCCGAAGCGGAGCGTGTGAACTTAACCACACGGCCATGGGGCCAGCCCCCTGCCCTGCCTTCTTGAGGCTTGCTTTGTCACCTACTAAGTTTCAGGAATTGGGGGGGGGGGGGGGGGGAGCCTAGGAAGAAGGTGCAGAGGAACAGTTGCTAGATGTAAGGAGAATCAGACCTGGACATCTCAGCAGCTCAGGCAGCGGAGTGTCACGATGGGAACGGTCAGCCATATTATATACGCCTCTATTTTCCTCCCCATTTCTTGGATCTCTTCACAGTAAAATTAGTGAAAGAATTATTTACCCCCCGCACTGTCCAAGAGAAATATAACATGACCCACATACGCAATTTTAAGCTTTTTAGCAGCCACATTTTAAAAAGTAAAAAGAGGGGCTGGCCCGGTGGTGCAGCAGATAAGTGTGCACCTTCAGCTTCGGCGGCCCAGGGTTCACCAGTTCGGATCCCGGGTGTGGACATGGCACCGCTTGGCAAGCCATGCTGTGGTAGGCGTCCCACATATAAAGTAGAGGAGGATGGGCACGATGTGAGCTCAGGGCCAGTCTTCCTCAGCAAAAAGAGGAGGATTGGCGGCAGATGTTAGCTCAGGGCTAATCTTCCTTAAAAAAAAAAGTAAAAAGAAACTGGTGAAATTAATTTTAATAATATATTTAACCCAATATATCCAAAATGTTCACATTTCTACATGAAGTCAGTATTTTTTTTTTTTTTTTTTTTTTTGAGGAAGATTAGCCCTGAGCTAACTACTGCCAGTCCTCCTCTTTTTTGCTGAGGAAGCCTGGCCCTGAGCTAACATCCGTGCCCATCTTCCTCTACTTTATATGTGGGATGCCTGCCTCAGCATGGCTTGATGAGCGGTGCCATGTCTGCACCCGGGACCCCAGGCCTCGGAAGCGGAACGTGTGAACTTAACCACTACGCCACCAGGCCAGCCCCATGCAGAAGCTCCCTATGTATCCTGTCCTTTTGGGTTTTATGGAGGCTTCACTAGAGGCCTGATTAATTCAATCATTTGCTACTAGTGTTGGTGAACTCCATCTCAAACCCCTCTGTCTCCCATCCCCAGAGGCAGGGGTGGGGTAGGGTGGGGCTGAAAGTTTCAGCCTCTAATCAAGATTAGTTCCCCTGGCAACCAGCCCCATCCTTTGATTACCTAAGGTCCTTCGGAAAGTGGCCTTGTTAACATAAAGTCAGGTGTGTTACAAAGGACTTGTTACGAATAACAAAAGATAACTTTATCTCCTGAATCATTTTGGAAATTCTAAGGGTTTTAGGAGCTCCGTGGCAAGAATGAAGACCAAATCTATTATAAATCACAATATCACAGCTGGAGTTTTTCTAGCGTTTGTCCTGGGCCCTCTTCTATACCAGTCAATAAAAAAAGAAACAAAGAAATAAGTATAAACATAAATCAAATCATGTCACTCCATTTTGGCATCCTTTTGCACTTTGAAATGTCAGCCGCAAAACAATCAATAACCAATCTATAGATGGGAGAGATAAGGTGACCTTTACTTGAGCCAAAGAGAGGATCATAATCCTGGAAGGCAGTCTTCACAAAGGAAGGAAGCGTTCAGGAGAAACACGGTTTTCATTCAAGTCTTCTATCTTTTTAGAACAAAGAACGTACGTTAAACACACCCAGGATACATTTTCATTAAAGTTTCAAGGAGGTATTTAGTTGCAAATTAGCAGATCAATACGACCCTGATGTTGGGAAAGGGAATTATACTGGGAGTACTAATACAGCCTTACTGGCTTTGCAGGAGGGGAAGTATGCATTCTTTTTTTTTGCCGCCCCCCCCACCCCCCTGCCCCGAAGAAGCTTAGCCCTGAGCTAACATCTGCCAATCCTCCTCTTTTTCCTGAGGAAGACTGGCCCTGAGCTAACATCCATGCCCATCTTCCTCTACTTTATATGTGGGACGCCTAGCACAGCATGGCTTGTCAAGTGGTGCCATGTCCACACCCGGGATCCAAACTGGCGAACCCCGGGCCGCCAAAGCGGAACGTTCGCTCTTAACTGCTGCACCACCAGGCCAGCCCTGTATGCATTCTTATTTTAATGGTTAAAGCAGATGTCCAAAAGTGTGTTTGATAGGCCATAAATCAGGCTTTTTTTTTCCTTTTAGTTCAAGCCGAATCAGTTTTGAATGACAATAGTTACCCCCATACCCGAATATGTGACAATCTCTTGTCAAAATAAAACTTAAACTCCTTTTCATGACCTATAGGGCTATCGGAGGCAGAATAATGGTCCCCCAAAGATGTTGCTGTAGGTTGAATGTCCTCCCAAAATTCCTATGTTAAATCCTAACTCCCAGTGTGATGGTGTGAGGAGGTCGGGCCTGTGGGAGGTGATTAGGTCATGAGGGCGGAGCTCTTATGAATGGGATTAGTGCTGTTATAAGAGACCCGGAGAGCTCCCTCACCCCTCACCATCTGAGGATGCTGTGAGAAGATGACCACCTATGAACCAGGAAGCCGGCCCTCACCAGACACCCAATCTGCCAGCACCTCGATCTTGGACTTCCCGGCCTCCAGAACTATGAGAAATAAATTTCTGTTGTTTATAAGCCACCCAGTCTATGGTATTTTTGGTATAGCAACCCAAACGGAATAAGACAGATGTCTGGGTCTTAATTCCCAAACCTGTGAATATGTTACCTTATGCAGCAAGAGGGACTTTGCAGATGAGATTCAGTTAAAGATCTTATCTTTCTTTTTTTTTTTTTAAGGAAGATTTGCCCTGAGCTAACATCCGTGCCCATCTTCCTCCACTTTATATGTAGGACGCCTGCCACAGCATGGCTTGCCAAGCGGTGCGTAGGTCCACACCCAGGATCTGACCAGGTGAACCCTGGGCCGCTGAAGTGGAACTTGTGAAATTAACCGCTGTGCCACCAGGCCAGCCCCTTGGTTAAAGATCTCCAAATAGGGAGATGATCCTGGATTACTCAAGTGGGCCCAATGTAATATTACACACGGTCTTCATAAAAGGAAGGCAGGAGGGTCAGTCAGAGCAGATGCTACACTGCTGACTTTGACGGTGAAAGGAGTCACAAGCCCAAGGAATGCAGGCAGCCTTTAGAAGCTGGAAAGGGCAAGGAAATGCATTCTGCCCTAGAGCATCCAAAGGAAGGCAGCCCGGCAGACACCCTGACGTTAGCTCAGTGAAACCCTTCTCAGACTTCGGACAGTTATCAACTGTTGCAAGCCACTAAGTTTGTGGTGATTTGTAACAGCGGTAACAGGAAACTAATACAACGGCCCTTTGCCATCTGGCCACTCCTCACTCCAACCTCGTGTTGTTGCTATCGCCTCATTCACTGAGCTTTAGCCGCAGCGGCCAGTGCCAAGTACTTCCCTGTCTCAGGGCCTTTGCAGTTGCTGTTTCCTCTGCTAGTAATCCTCTTCGCTCTGCCCCAGCTCTTAAGACCTCCAGCTCCTTCGGATCTCTGCTCAAACGTCACCTCCACAGAGAAGGCCTCTCTGACCAGCCTGTCAAGAGTAGACACCCCTCTCACACCCTACTGTCACATCCTGTTTTTTTCTCTCGTAACGCCACATCTGAAGCGACCGTGTTTGCTTTGGTCTGTTTACTTGCTCACTACATGTCTTCCCTCTAAATTGTCAGCTCCTCAGGAGTAGGAGCTTGCAGTCTTGCTCATTTCTATGTTCCCAGCACCCAGAACAGCGCCTGGCACATGGTAAGTACTTAAGAAATGGTTGCTGTGGGGCTGGCCCGGTGGCACGCAGCAGTTAAGTTCGGATCCTGGGTGTGGACATGGCACTGCTTAGCAAAAACCATACTGTGGCAAGCGTCGCACATATAAAGTAGAGGAAGATGGGCATGGATGTTAGCTCAGGGCCGGTCTTCCTCAGCAAAAAAAGGATTGGCAGCAGATGTTGGCTCAGAGCGAATCTTCCTCCAAAAAAAAAAAAGAAATGGTTGCTGAATGAATGAATGTGCCTCAGTCTGATTAAGGACTCATGTTCTAGTTCCCGAGATGTGGGTGGAAGTAGATTCTTTTTCCTAGATGAGGGAAGCTTCAACCTAGATGGACTCACAAAGTGTTTATGAAACACAAGCAGTTTTTAAAAGCCGTCATCCATTCTTCCAAGACGCAGTGGGGAAGAAAGGGGGCAATCCCAAGCCAACAATGGAAGTGAAGGGCTGGAGTGTGGGTAGGGGAGGGTAGGTAGAGTCAGGCCTGCTGTGTCCATGAGGTACCACTTGGGTGGGCACTGTAGACGAAACGTTGACACTTTTCCCTGCCGCCATTATGGGTCAGCAGTGTGTGATCACATTCTGGCGTTGGCTCCCTTTGCCCCCTGCTGTGTGAATTGGAACACCCAGGAGCTACTCTCCGAAGGCGGGGAGGAGCCAGGCCCTACAGCGAACAATGTTATTCTCACTCTGCTGGCTTTAATGCAACAATGTGGGACCCGACCAGAGGTAGCCCTTTGAAAATTACTTGTATTTTTCATAGAAAATTATTTATATTTATCATGGAATTATTCAATATGATAAAGGGTCGCCCAATATAATAATATCTTATTACTATTACTAGTGAAAGGCCACAGTGCCTTAATCTGTGCGTGGTGACTGTCGTGCCCCATAGTCACCTTCTCCTTGTCTTTCCCCTCAGCCACTGCCTAGACCATCACTGTGGATTGCAGCTGACGTGACCCTCTGGCTACTGACCGTCCAGCACAGGTGAGTGAAGGACAGAATGCTCTGGGAGCAAGTGGCACCAGCACCAGGATTCCTACACTGGAAACCGCCTTTGCCGCGTGTATCAGTTTCCTGGGGGTTCCGTAAGAAATCCTACAAACTGGGGGCTTAGAACATCGGAAATTTATTCTTTCACAGTTCTGGAGGCCAGAAGTCCAAAACCAAGGTTTCTGCAGGGCCTGCGCCCCCTGAAGTCTCTAAGGAAGGACTTTACCTGGTCTTTTCAGCTTCTGGTGGCTCCTCATGCTCTCGGCTTGTGGCAGCGTAACTCCATTCTCTACCTGCATTTTTTTTCTTTGGGTGAGGACCTGCCCTGAGCTAAGTTCTGTTGCTAATCCTCCCTTTTTGCTTGAGGAAGATGGTCACTGAGCTAACATCCGTGCCAATCCTCCTCTATTTTGTATATTTTGTATGTGGGATGCCGCCACAGCATGGCTTGACAAGCGGTGTGTAGGTCCATACCCGGGATCTGAACCTGCGAACCCCAGCCTCTGAAGGGGAGCGTGTGAACTTACCCACTACACCACTGGGCCAGCCCTCCACCTCCATCTTCCCAGGTCTTCTTTCCTCTGTGTATGCCTCTCCTCTTCTTATGAGGACACCGGTCATTGGGTTGAGGGCCCACCCTAATCCAGTACAACCTCATCTTAACTAATTATATCTGGAAAGACCTTATTTCCAAATAAAGTCACATTCTGAGATTCTGGGTGGGCGTGAATTTTGGGTGGACATTATTCAACCACTACACTGTTTACAATCACTCTCCACTTCAGACCCTTGCTTTAATCGGTTGCAGGCAATCTAGCAAGCCCTAATATGTTGATCTTGACAGGATTACTGTGCATACTGGCTCTTGCCACCTCAGCCATTGGATGGTAGGTTTTGTGGAAATGCAAAGGAGGTGGGCGACCCTAGTCTGTGACACTGTTAAGGTGTGAGCGGGCCTCACTGGGACGGGGCAGCCCCCATCAGCTGGAACCGATAAGACGCTGTGGCCAGAACTGGGACATAATTCATAAACACATACACTCTACGGTCCCCCCCTGACTCTGTGACACATGCTTTACAACAAATCTGAATCAAAATTATCAGAATCATAGCAAACAATTCTTTAAGTATTTGAGAACATTGCAATGTGTCCCATCACTGAGGTCATACCGAGAGTCCCATGAATGCCCACGGCATAGTCTCACCATGCCAGGAAGAAACACAGCCCCATCCGTTGCATCTGTGTTGCAGTTGTTCCATCTTTCTCTTCAGCTTACCATGCCCAGCGCCTATGACCATCTGTGATATCCACTCTTATGGATGTCCCGCTTTTTCTTCTTCAAAGCGGTCCAAGAATCCTGTGATATTCTTATAAATCTTCCCCATCTTTTACTCCACTTGGCTCCCTTGAAGAAGGTGTTATCATTCCTGTTGGGTCTACTCTTAGGAGACGCCTGTGAGGTGAGGGGCTAAGCATAGACTCAGGCCGACATGGTCCATGTCTGGTGCTCTGTTCTTTTTTTTTTTTTGAGGAAGATTAACCCTGAGCTAACTGCTGCCTATCCTCCTCTGTCTGCTGAGGAAGACCGGCCCTGAGCTAACATCCATGCCCATCTTCCTCTACTTTAATACATAGGATGCCTACCACAGCATGGCTTTTGCCAAGCGGTGCGATGTCTGCACCTGGGATCCGAACCAGCGAACCCTGGGCCGGCCGCTAAGAAGCGGAATGTGCGCACTTAACTGCTGTGCCACCGGGCCGGCCCCATAGTGCTCTTTTCTTACTGGTATTTCTCTGATGGGGTGAGTTTCCCCATTGGAGATCCCCTGAGATTACGTGAACCTCGTCCAGGCCACCTGAGGAGTTATGGCTTTCTTTCCTTCCATGTGAAAGTGGAACATTGCTTTCTTTCTCGTGACAGTTGTAGTTGGGCTAACAAGGCGCATTAAAGTTATTGTAAAATGTCTATGGGTCTGTATCCGATCAGGGTTTTACCCAAACGGAGTGTTCATCACCTTGGCAATCAGGTTGCAAAGTCACCCTGTTAGGTTATGGTCAGTCTATTTACAGGAAGACTGCGTGCATGGTGTCAGATAATTATGCCAGTTACAGTGAAGCCACTGAGGGTGGTCAATAAATGCTTTTCTATTCTGAAAGAGATAACAAAAATCTGGGATCTGGGGCCGGCCCGGTGGCACAGCGGTTAAGTGCACACATTCCGCTTTGGCGCCTGGGGTTTGCCGGTTCGGATCCTGGGTGTGGACACGGCACTGCTTGGCACGCCATGCTGTGGCAGGTGTCCTACGTATAAAGTAGAGGAAGATGGGCACGGATGTTAGCTCAGGGCCGGTCTTCTTTGGAAAAAAAAAAATCTTGGATCTTTACTCTCATTCCCCCATAAACTTTAATGTCTTTAAACTTGACTATAGGACTATATTTTGGCTGTTTGAAAAGCTCTAGGGTGTCAGAATAGTTGTTTATTATATAATTTAGATAAATTCTTCTGTTGGAACGATGTTCCACTTTCCACTTATTTCATCCCCTAGTCTGGATTTGGATGTTTCCTTAGTAATCCATTCAACTTTTTTTTTTTTTTTTGAGGAAGATTAGCCCTGAGCTGACATCTGCCGCCAATCCTCCTCTTTTTGCTGAGGAAGACTGGCCCTGAGCTAACATCTGAAGCAGAATGTATGCACTTAACCACTGTGCCAACGGGCTGGCCCAGAACACAGTTTTAATGGAGGCCAATGGACAAGAAGATATAAATAAGAAAAATAATTCTAGTGAGTGCTGATATAATAAATTTGGGGAGACATACCTGGGGGATAAGGAGGGAGGGCACTAATTCAGATTAGAGGTGGTCAGGGAAGTGTGGTCTGAGGAGGTGACATGTGAGCTGAGACCTGAAGGACCTGAAGAAGCCAGCCCTGGAATGCTATGGGAAAAGAGCCTTCCAGGTGGAGGGAACTGTGAGTGCAAAGGCCCTGAGGCAGGAATACTTTGTAATAGGGCAGACTCCTGGTCCAGTGCTCCTTTGCCACTTGCTGCGTCTCTAGGCCCTCAAAGAGGTCCCTTTGGTGCCCTGGGCCTCCATTAAGCTTAGTCCCTAAGGTGCTGACTTAACCAGGAAGGCAGTAGCTCTCTCAGGCTGTGGGTCCCCCTCCCAGAGGCCCTGTGGCTGACCCGGATCTGAGATTCCTGATTCCTGTCTGGCAGGGGGTGAGCAGACATCCTCCCCACCATCTCTCCCCAGGCTCCAGCCCCGGCCCCAAATCTCCATGACAACCCTAGACACAATCCTGACCTGAAGAGGATCTGGAAGGGCAGCACAAAGATCGCCGTGAAGAGACCAGAGGAGCTGGCCGACTGCCTCCCCTCGCTCCTCGCGTCCTGCAGCTTCCCCGCTGGCCTGGCCAGGCCCCACGCCCCCGTCTCCCCAAAGCCCCCAGACAGGACTCTGCAGGTCTGCCCCATTGCTGGGCACAGCAGGGCCCAGATGGCGGCCTGTCTCCCGCTGCTGCCCCCGAGGTTGCTGCTGCTGGGGGCAGCCGCCCTGGCTGCGTGTGCCCTGGAGACAGGTGAGCACGACGGGGCTGGGCTCAGGCGGCAGGAGATCCGGCCCCATCCCCCTCAGAGACTGTTTCCCCAGTCAGCACTCACCCTCACCGGCTGGGACCTCTTGAATCGGGGGAGGCTGGGAAACCCTGTGCCCGGTCTGGTCTTGCCTGGCACTCCCAAGTCCCCCCCAACCCCTTTGGTAGGCTGGAGCCCCAAGTCACTCAGAAGCAGGGCTCGGGGCGGGGGGACAGCCCTCAGGCCTGGGCACGGAAAACACGGTGGGCTTTGGGGTCGGACAACCCTGCATTCACACACTCACGCTGCCTCCTCCTGCATTTCTATCCTTGGGACCCTCGTTTCTACTCTAAGTCTCAGTTTCTTCAGTAGTAAAATGGGGTACTAATGGGCCCCTGCCCCTTGAGAGACTTTATTAGGGTGCACGTAACTGACAAGAGGTGCCTGAACTGACAAGAGACTGTTTAGTGTCTTTATCGTCCTGCTTACGGTAAACGTTCGTACCATGGCTCTGGAAAACGTGGTCATGGAGGGCTGCAACATCATAGACTGTCTATCCATAGTATCTCTCTAAAATCCGGAAAATTCTGAGACATATCCTAGAGTTTTTGAATAAGAGAGTGAGGACTTAAATTATTTAATCCTCACAAAAATTCGGATTGCTTAAGCAACCCCTTTTACCGATAAGGAAACTGAGGCTCAGAGAGGGTGAGCGACTTCGCGGGGTCACACCGCGGGCGGGGCGGGGGCGGAGCCCGGCCCGCGGCCGCGCGCTCCAGGCCCGGTGCCTTCCGTTGCAGCCGACCTGGCGGAGCGCTGCGGGCACACGTGGCGCGGGGACGCGCTGCTGCTGCGCTCGCACTCCGCGTCGCGCAACTTCTACTTCGTGGCCCCGGACACCGACTGCGCGCTCTGGGTGCGGGCGGCGGCCCCCGGCGACAGGATCCGCTTCCAGTTCCGCTTCTTCCTGGTCTACAGCCTGACGCCCCCGTCTCCGGCGCCCCCCGCGCCCAACGCCTCCTCCCCGGCGCCGGCCGACCCCTGCGCCCCCGGCTCCTACCTGCAGTTCTACGAGGGCCCGCCGGGGGCGCCCCGGCCCCTGGGGGCCCCGCTCTGCGGCCTGACCATCCCCGCCCCGGTGGCGTCCTCGGGGGACTACCTGGGCCTGCGCCTGGTCACCAGAGGCCGCCAGCCCCGCGTGGACTTCGTGGGCGAAGCCACCTCTTTCCGGCTGGGTGGGTTGGAGCGGTCGGCCAGGACCCGGCCTCGGGGGTGGGGTCGGGGGTGGCAGCTGCGGCCTGGGGCCGGGATGGGGCTGGCGCTCCGGCTCCGGAAGATGGAGGGGGCTTGGGCCTAACGGAGGGAAGGAGGTGGGGACAGGTGGCGGGGTTAGGGGCGTCCCAATAGGGACATTCCAGGCCCAAAGGGCCAACCCCATCAATCTGGCTTCCATGGGTGTGTATGTCACACCGCCCTACCAGTCCCTGGTGCACACACTCACTCACACTCACGCATTCACACACAACTCATCCCCATGCAACTCCTGGACTCACACCTCATGCTCTAGCCCCACCCGCTCACACACACTGTCCATGTACACAGCTCACACCACGTACACGCGTACACCCGACTCCACACCTTGCACTCCCACACTGCAATACACAACCCACACACTGCACACTGACACACTCAGTTCACCTCACACACGCCTCCTTCACGCACAGTTCCACTTTGCTCCCTTAGACGCAACTCATTCACACACTCTCGTGTGCACGTCGGCTCCTCTGTCCTGGTCAGCCCTTCAGATGTTTGCCAGCGGCCGGCGTTGGGACTCTGGAGATCCTAAGTGACAGAAACTGATGGCTCGTTCGGCGTGGCCTTTGGTCCTTTGCACGCCAGTCTCCTCTGTCCCTCGCAGCAGCTCTTCTGTGCTGCGTTCTGGCCCTCAGACGGGCGGGTGGGCAGCAGGCTCGGTGGGTCCGGTAAACGCCCCAGGCAGAGCGGCACGCCCTAACTGCTGGAGGTGTCCTCTTGCTCACGCTGGGTTCAAGGCTTTAGCCACGGCAGGTTCCCCCAGGACTGGAGACACAGCTCACCCATGTCACGGCCCATGTCACAGCCGATGTCACAGCAGAGGCTGTGTCCAGGGATGGCGAGCGGATGAGCTGCTGAAGTCCAGAAGATTCCACAACCATGGAGAAGCTTTGTCTCCATCTCTGGCAAAATATCCAGACTGGAGAATTAAGCATGGGGTTGTGAGCACTTCGAGACGAGAACATGGGGGCTCTGAGAGCCAGGACAGGTCCAGCAGGAACTAGACCTTGACATGCCAGGCCCTGGCCAGCCCTTCAGCCCGGAGGTGCTCAGAGAGCACCCCCGTGCGTCTCGTGTGTCTCTAGTCACGTCCCACGTCCCGCCTTCCTTCTCCCCTGGAATCGTGCATGGTCTGAATTTTGGCTTTTAGACTCTCTCTTGCCCATTAGAGTCTCTGGCTCAGGGATGAACCTTATGAAATTTTGGGGTCATGACTGGTGGTGCCTGGGTCCCCTTTTCTGGATCCTGTCGGCTGCCACATGCCAAGGTTCCTATCACGGACGTTGTTTTTGCAAACAGCTCTCACTGGCAGGTTGGATATCACGCCCTCCTCCTGCCTCTCTCCCTCCCTGTGGCCGTGCCTGCTTGGTGGCCCTGCCCCCTTGGGGTGCAGCTGTCAGCCAGGGAGGCCGAGAATGTGGCAGCTGCTCTGTGTTCTGCAGGATTGGGCTCTGAAAAGAAGGTGACAGTGCAGAAGCCCTAATGCGACTCTGGTGTCCTCGGGTCAGTTTTGTCATCGGAATGAGGAAAGGTTCATTTCACACCCTCGGGCCACACGCACAGTGTCAATCACTTATACCTGCAAGCACGCCCTGCCTGGTTCGTGCACACGCTCTTACGCTGACACTCACACGTCTCCCCATCCGTCTCCACTACTACTGTTTTCTCTCACAGACATTCATTCTTACACCTATACACCTTCTATATATTAGAGTGTCCACTTTCATTTGCAGATGAAAGAAACCCAACTCAAGTAGGCTTAAGCCTAAGAAGAATTTTGAGGTTCCTGTAACTGGGATATTAAGGTGTTGGTTCAGGTATAGCTGGATCCAGGAGTTCAAGTAATTTCACCTAGGCTGTGTCTCTTTGTTTTCTTCTACCTTTGCATTGTGTGGGTCCATTTGGCTTCCATCTCAGGCAGCTCCTCTTTCTACTTGGCAGCAAAGGCACCCTGCAGCTCCAAGTCCACAATCACCCCCACAGCTCTAACCTCAATGAGATAGAGAGGAAGCACCTTTTCTTATGGTTCTAGCAAAAGCCTGGGGCCAAATCTGATTAGTCATGGCCAGGAAATGGATGCTCTGATTGGCAGGCCCCCCACTGGGACATGGTGTTGGTCAGTCCCACCTGAACCAGCTTTTCTGCACAGAATGGGATTCGGGTAAGCCAACCCATCTGCCACGCCCTGCGACCGAGTCACATAATTCTCTCACCCAGGTGCTTATTCATTCACCTAGCAAATATTAACGTGCCAGGTGCTGTTCTAGGCTCTAGAGATACAGCAATGAACAAAAGAGAAGTCTCTGTCCTCTTTGAGCTGACGTTCTGGGGCAGACAGACCAGAAACAAGTAATCAAGTAGATCCGCATTCTGCAGAGGTGGCGAGTGCCGCCGAGGAACCCAAACCCGGAGAAGGAGGCGGGTGCTGGGGCACGGGGTTCTCAGCGGAGGTTCGGGAAGGCCTGCGGATAAGAGAAATCTGAGTGGAGACCCAAAGGGAGCGAGCCCTGCAGTTACCTGCGGAGGAGAATGCCGGGCGGAGCTGATGGCCAGCGCTGAGCCCTGAGCGAGGGTTTGCTTGGAGTCCGGGTTCGCTGGGCTACCGTGGGCCCTGTGCATCACACATGCAGACACACTCCCACCCACTGTGTGCCACAGTGTGTATGAACATGGGGCTGAATTCCTACTCTGCTACTTACGTACAAGCTGTGTGGCCTTGGTCAACTGACCTAACCTCCCTGTGCCTAGTCTTCTCATCTCTGAAATGGGGTTAATTACAGTATTTACCCCCATAGGGTAATTGTGAGAACGTAATGAGCTAGGATGGGAATAAAGTGTTTAGAACCACACCTGGCCTGGAGAGGACTCAATAAGTGTCAGCTGCCAGCATCAGCATCCTTATGATCACACGTGTCTCCCATGAAATGTCCATCCGCACTCCCACGTGGATGCACGTGGAAACAGCCCCCCCCCCCCCCCCCCCCCCCCCCCCCCCCCCCCGCCAACGCACACCTCCTGCATTCCCTCGCTGTAGGACCCCACACCTCCCTGGGTCATGGGCTGGCCCAGGGTCCTCATCTCATGCCTTCCCTCTCGGCCTCAGGATCCTGTGGTGCCTACTTCCGCTGTGGGAATGGCAGGTGCATCCCCCGGAGCCTGGTGTGTGATCGCTGGGGCCTGGACAACTGTGGCGACGGCAGTGATCAGGCTCCCTGGCCCCCAGCGGACTGCAGAGGTGAGTGACAGGTGTGGCCTGGGCCCCGCTGAGCAGCTGATAGGGAGGCTGGGCTGACTCCCCTTCCCTGGGGCACAGCCTGAGTGGGGGATGGAGGCAGGGGTGCAGCAGGAGAGACTAAGGGGAAGTGCATTAGTGGGCAATCTGGATCAGACCACCTGAGGCTCAGAGCAAGTCAGAGCTGGGACGATGCTAGAGATGATCTAGTCCAGCTGCTTCCACACGATGGATTAGTGGTGGAAGCTTTTCCTAAATGGAGCCTTGCACGGAGGCCTGAGACATCAAAAGGAGAGATGCTCTATTTACTGCGCGTGGGGGGCCCGGGGCCGACTCATGTCCCACTGAGGGACCTGAGTTTGACCCTTAAGACTTACTTTGAAAACCATTGATTTAGTCTGACTCCCACATTTTACAGATGAGGAAATTGAGGCCTAGGGAGAAGAAATGACTTGCCCAAGGTCATAGAGTCATCAAGTGACATGACCAGGAATGGTCTCTGTGGATAGAACGGACCAGTATAGGTCACCCAGAAATATCCTTCTTGGGAATCTGGAGATGCCCCATCCCCAGTCAGGAGTGGGATAGAGGCAGGGCTGCCATGTCTGGTTGAACAGGTTGTTTACTGCAAAAAGGTGCCTGAGGGGTGAAATCCAGCTTCCCAGGACCCCGACCCCTCACTCACCTCCCAAGCCACTCCTCAGCCTCCTTCACAGGTTCCTTGTTAGCTCCCTGACACTGTGCTTTGTGCCATGAGGCCCAGGTCCTACATCCTCTCCGCCTCCACCCACGCTCATTCCCTTGGTGGTCTCCTTTATATTGTGTCGCCAGCTGGACTTGTCTTTGAACTCAGTTACATAACCACCTCCCTACTCACATCTCCACATGGACGTGTGGGCGGCATCTCAGACTTAACTTGCCCCAAACTGAACTTCTGGTCCACAGCCACCGCATCCTGCTCGTCACCAGTTTCCCTTCTCACCAAAGCTGCAGAGTCCCCCTTTACTCTTTTTTCCCTCTCAGCCCATGGGCATCAGCATCATGAGGATGTGTCTGATGTTTTGCTCATGGTAAGACCGGAGTTATGGGTTACTAGGAGGAAGACCACAGAGGTACAGCGTCATTTCTGTCACATCCTATCACAGGTACATGCTCCCAGCATCATTCACGGCTGCTGATATTGGCCTTGACACCTGGCCGAGGTCGTGTTGGTCAGGTGTCTCCACTGTTACTCTTCCTGCCTCCCCTTGTCACGTGTCCTTTTTGGAAGGAGGTCACTCTGCATAGCCTGCACTTAAGGGGTGGGGAGTTAAGCATCTCTGCCAGAGGAACCTTAAAAAAATTTTATTGAGGGGCCGGTCCCATGGCTGAGTGGTCGAGTTTGCACGCTCTGCTTCGGCAGCCCAGAGTTTCGCCAGTTCGAATCCTGGGCGCGGACATGGCGCCGCTCGTGGGGCCATGTGGAGGTGGCATCCCACATGTCACAACTAGAAGGACCCACAACTAAAAATACGCAACTATGTACCAGGGGGGCTTTGGGGAGAAAAAGGAAAAATAAAATATTAAAAAAAAAATTTTATTGAGATATAATTGACATGTAACATTGTATGTTAGTTTCAGGTGTAGAAGATGATGATTTGGTATCTGCATATATTGCAAAATGGTCACCACAAGTCTAGTTAACATCCGTCACCACACAGAGTTACAAATTTTTTTCCTTGTGATGAGATCTACTCTCTTAGCAACTTTCAAATATACCACACGGTATTGTTAACGAGTCCCCGTGCTGTATATGACATCCGCATGATTTATTTATTTTATATCTGGGAGTTTGTCCCTTTTGACCCCCTTCAACCATTTCTCCCACCCGCCACCCCCAGTCTCTGGCAACCACCAGTTTCTTCTTGTATCTATGAGCTTGTTTTTCTTTTTTAGATTCCACATCTAAGTGAGATCATACGGTATTTGTCTTTCTCTGTCTGACCTATTTCACTTAGCATATTGCCTTCAAGGTCCATCCATGTTGTTGCAAATGGCAAGATTTCCTTCTTTTTTTTTTTTTTTTATCACTGAGTAATATCCATACATATGTATCCACTCATCCACCGACCAGCCCTTGGGATGCTTCCACGTCTTGGCTGTTGTAAATAAGGCTGCAATGAACATGGGATGCAGATATGTCTTCAAGTTAGTGTTTCCATTTCCTTCGGATAAATACTCAGAAGTGGAACCGCCAGACCACGTGGTGGTTCTGTCAGAGGAGCCTTCTAAAACACTAAGTCAGATCACGTCCCTCCTGCGCTCGGAGCCCTCCACCCTCCTCATCTCACTCAGCAGGAGCAGAGCCTCCCGGGGGCCCACAGGCCATGTGCCATCTGGCCTGTCACCTCCCTGGGCCCTTCGCTTCTCTGGCCCTGCCCCTCCCCCGTGCCTGCTGGCTTCCTCAGCGCCTCCCCACTGGCCCTGCAGCTCCCCCCACGCTCCTGTCTCGTCCTACCTCTGCTCTCTTCCCTGGCTCTTTCCTCGGCCTGGAAGCTGTTCCCCAGAGATTGACACCCCATCCTGAAGGTCTCTGCTTAACCCTCACTCTCTGTGAGCTCTTTCCTGACACTTTTATTAAGAATAGCAACTCTGTGACCACTGACAGATGAATGGATAAACACAATGTGATATGTCCACACAATGGCATATTATTCAGCCCTGAAAAGGAAGGAAATTCAGACACATGCTACAGCATGGACGAAGCTTGAGGACATTATGCTAAATGAAATAAGTTGGACACAAAAGGATAAATACAGTATGATTCCAATGGTGTAAGACACCTAGAGTAGTCAAAATCACAGAGACAGACAGTAGAATGGTGGTTGCCAGGGGCTGGGGGAGGGAGAACCGAGAGTTAGTGTTTAATGGGTGTGGAGTTTCAGTTTTACAAGATGAAAATACTTCTGGAGATGGACAGTGTTGATGGTTGCACAACACATTGAATGTCCGTAATACCACTGAACTGTATTCTTTTTTTTTTTTTTTGAGGAAGATTAGCCCTGAGCTAACATTGGCTGCCAGTCCTCCTCTTTTTGCTGAGGAAGACTGGCCCTGAGCTAACGTTCGTGCCCATCTCCCTCTACTTTATATGTGGGACGCCTGCCACATCATGGTGTGCCAAGCTGTGCCGTGTCCGCACCTGGGATCCCAACCAGTGCACCCTGGGCCGTCAAAGTGGAACGTGTGCACTTAACTGCTGCACCACCGGGCTGGCCCTGAACGGTATTCTTAAAAATGGTTAAAATGGTAAATTTTTTTTTTTAAGGAAAATTAGCCCTGATCTAATATCTGCTAGCAATCCTCCTGTTTTTTGCTGAGGAAGACGGGCCCTGAGCTAACATCCGTGCCCATCTTCCTCTACTTTATATGTGAAAATATGTCGAGTGGTGCTATGTCTGCACCTGGGATCCAAACCAGTGAACTCCAGGCCGCTGAAGCAGAACATGTGCACCTAACTGCTGTGCCACCGGGCTGGCCCCTCATTTTTTTTTTTGCGGAGGAAGATTTGCCCTAAGCTAACATCTGTTGCCAATCTTCCTCCTTTTTTCTTCCTTTCCCCCCAAAAGCCCCAGCACCTAGTTGTGTATACTTGTAGGTTCTTCTGTGTGAGCCGCCACCACAGCATGGCTACTGACAGACGAGTGGTGTGGTTGCGAGCCTGGGAACTGAACCCGGGCCGCTGGAGCAGAGCATGCTGAACCACTAGGCCATCAGGGCTGGCTCTAAACTTTATGTTTTGTATGGTTTACCACAATTTAAAAAAATGGCAATGCTGCCCCTCACCAACACGCCGTGTCCTTTTCCCCTAACTTTTCTCCGCGGCACCTAACTCCATTTGACGCAGCATCTAATTTGTGCTTTGTGTCTCCTCACACTAACAGGCCAGTTCCAAGAAGACAGTTTTGTCTGTTTTGTTCACTGTCGCGTCCCCCAGTCCCTAGAGCAATGCCTGGGGTACAGCAGATGCTCAAGAAATACTAGTCAAATGAGTGGAAGAATGGACCTCTCTTGCCTCAGTTTCTTTATCTGTAAAATGGGGGTGACAGCAGCTGGCCCGGTGAGGCAGCAGTTAAGTTCACACATTCTACTTTGGCGGCCTGGGGTTTGCCGGTTCAGATCCCGGGTGCAGACATGGCACCACTCGGCACGCCAGGCTGTGGTAGGCGTCCCACCTATAACATAGAGGAAGATGGGCATGGATGTTAGCTCAGAGCCAGTCTTCCTCAGCAAAAAAGAGGAGGCTTGCCAGCAGATGTTACCTCAGGGCTAATCTTCCTCAAAAAAAAAAAGGGGAGGGTGACAAACCTCACCTTTCAGAGTCATGTGAACTTTAAGCGAAAGACTCCAGGTAAAGGGCCAGCACTGAGCACCGTGTGACAGAAAACACTGGATCCCTGCGCACCCTCCTTCCTGAGAAGCAGTTCTGTGCACAATCCCCAAGCCCCGGAGCTAGACGGCGAGCTCAAGTCCTCCCCTCTCACTTCCGGCTCTGTGACCTGGGCAGATGACTTAACCTCAGTGCCTCACTCCCCTTATTGGTCAAACGGAAACACTAACAGTAACAAACTCAGAGAGGTTTCAGGAGGATGAAAGGAGACGTCACCACGCCCGCCGGGCAGTCCTCCGTGTGTCAGCCCTGCTACTTCCCCTGCAGGTCCCAGCGGGGCAGTGAGGACCAACACCTCCGAGCCGCTGACCCTCTCCCCGACTCTCGGCTCTGCAGGCCACCTCCGGAGTGCAGCCAGGAGGAGTCCCCCAGCAGGCCGGGACCCTGCACAGCAGGATGCCGCTCCCGGAGGTAGGTGGCTCCAGGTGACCACCTGCTCCCACTCCTCCCACCAAGACCCCACTTGTCCCTGTGCAGGCGATGGGGACAGGGTCAGCGGGCCAGGCTGAGGCCTGAGTGGACTCTCCCCTTCCTCCCACAGGTCCCCGGTTGCAGGGTGTGGCGCTGGCCTCCTCGCTGCTCCTGGCCTCTGCCGGCCTCTTCATGGGCCTCCTCTGGTGCTGGGGCTCCCTGAGCTGGCTGGCCTGGCGGGCTGGTGCCCGTGGCCCCTGTCCCAGCTGCACCATCTGTTACATGTGTCCTGGTCAGGTGGCCCCCGGGGGGCTGCAGCTGGGTGGGCCGACCTTCCAGGGCCAGGCGGGCCACCCCTAGAGAGGCTGCGGGCATCAGAGGAAGGGAGTGGGCTCTGGGGTCACACAGACCCTGGGTTCCACCCCCACCCCCTGGAGGCCTGCTTGACCTTGGGCAGGTCGCTTAGCCCTCTGAGACTCAGTCTGTTCCTCTGGAAAATGGGATACTCCTGCCTCACGTGGTTCGGGAAGGCCACCAGAGGGAACTGGGCCTGCAGCTGGTGGCAGCTGGCGCCCTGCTATTCAGCGAAGGGCAAGGCCTCCACGCCCAGGGCAGGCAGCATGGCCTCACTCATCTGAAGCCGCCTGGCTTCCCTCCTGGACTTCACCTGCCCTGCTCCACCCCACCCCGGCCCACCTCGGGTTCCACTGGTCAAGCCCTTGTCAAGGACACAAGAGACAGCCCTGGCGGGGATAGCACCGTTTATTAAGAAAGATCAAGACAAAGACCACAGGAAGGTCCCTTCTAGGACACAGAGGCCAGGCATCCCGACCCCACATCTGGGGCTGCTGGTGGGGAGGGCGCTCGCTTGCCCCGAGTTGGGCCCTCAGGCTCCCACAGGTGGGGCAGGGCTGTCATGTTCCCTTCCTGTCCCTCCCAGTCGTGAGTCGTGGCTTCCCCTACCCAAGGCACTAACTCTTTCCGACCACCAATGCCCTCCTCCCCCCATGTCCCCTGGGCCTTCACTTCCAGATCGGTGGGGGGATGCGGCCTGGTGCTGGCGGGGAGACCCTCAGTGCTGGGCTCTGCCTGGGCAGCTCCTGCTCAGAGTTGGGATGGTTTCCCTTGCAGCCCCTGAGGGGGGGGGCCCTGGGCTCGTGTTGGGTGGGGGAGGTGCAGGCCAGGAGGGCTTGGTGGGAGGGGGTGGCTGCCAGGGGAAGGTGACCCGTTGGAGAGGCAGAGGGGGCTGGGACAGGGGCCGGCAGGGGTGGGGACTGCCTGCCCAGGGGTGAGCTGCCTTTTGCTCCACAGTTGGCACTAAAGAGCTTTCCCAACCCAGAGGATGCTGACAAAGGCCATCACAGGCCTCCTGCTCCAGGGAGCTGCTGGGGCCCCAGGCTGGAAGCTGAGGGTGACTCCCGTGGGAACGAGGGCTGCCCAGGAGCTGCTCGACTGGACAACCCAGCTCCACCTCGGGGGCTTGACTGGTGGGGGCAGTTCTGAGCCCACTCAGCCACCGTGCCAGACCTTCTCCTGGGTCCTGGTGGCCCTCTGAGGCGCTGCTCCCATCTCACCTGCCCTGCCCGCCAGCCTGCGGCTTTGCCCAGGTGTGTCTGTGTGTGGGGGGTGGCGTGCCTACCCTCCAGTCCAGCCCAGGGCAGTAGCAGCAAAGCGTGGCATCGCCTCAGTTTCTTACAAAATAGTCATAATAATAATATTAATAATAATATACTCGACGTTGTGGGGCTGGGGCGCTGCCCGGGAGTCCGTGTGGGGCAGGCGGCTGCCTATGAGGGGCAGGGGCGCGTGTTGGCCCCTGCCTGGGCGCGGTGCTGCAGGTCCAGGGGCTGTGGGGGCGGGGCGCCGGGCCGGGCCGAGTGCAGCACCAGGTTCTTGATACAGCCCGTGATGCCCGAGGAGAACCTGCCCCCAGTCAGCGTGGCCACGTCGGGGGCTCCGCCTGTGGGGAGGGGAGAGGACGGGCCTGTCAGCTCCGGGGGCCCGGGAGGCAAGGAAGGCCGGGTGCCCCAGCTCTGCAGCAGCCCCATCCCCTCCCTGCCCCGAGGATGGGGCCCCAGGAGCCCAGGACTCACCGATGTAGATGCTGCCCTTGGTGTTGACTGCCACGTTAGGGCCTGGGGACTGCCCGCTGACCAGCTCCTCGCCGTCCACCTGGATGGAGCCTCTCCGGCCCTCTCTGCAGGGCAACCAGGTCAGGCCCCTCACCACCAATTCCCCAGGAGAGTCCCCTCCCTCTGCCACAGAGACTCCAGATGGAGAAGTCTGCCCCTTCCCCATTAGTTCTTTCCTTCCCCACCTGGATGAGATCTGGCACCACAAACAGCTTCCTAGCTCCCCACCCAGGCTTCCTCCATCCCCTGGGGTACTTGCCCGTCCACCCCCCATGGAGTTCGTCCTGCCCTGGAGGTCTGTGCTCTGGCTGGTGGGCTTTCCCTCGACTGTGGCTTCAGGTTCTGGTGGGGAGCATCCTGTCTCAGTCTAGAACTCTGGGCCCCTCAAGCCTAGGGCCCAGCTCCCTTACCGCAGTGCCGTCACCCGATGCCACTCGCCGTCATTGATGGGGTCCTCGGAGACAAGACGGGCCTCCCCACTGCCCAGCTGGTAGCTGCAGTCACACAGGCCCAAGAAGGTGTGAGCTGGGGCAGGACTGGATGGGGTGTGGGATGGTGGTGGTGTGCAGCTGGGGCACTGGAAGCTGCAGCTTCTTGTGGGAGGAGCCAAGGGGCCGACCAGAGGGGAAGCCACCGATGGTGTGAGGGGGGCTGGGGAAGGGTCAGGTGCCAGGACCCACCTGAAGACAAGGTGCCCGTCCTGAAGCCCGAGACTGATGAAGTCCTTGCCTCGGCTGGCCTCTCCCACCTCCTGCCAGGGAAGCACAGAGTCTCTGGGGTCCCCAGCCTGCAGAGCCGAGGCCCTCGACAGCTATGGCCTCCACCTTTCTCTCTCCCACTGCCCGAGCCACCAGGAGGCAGGGAGCCCTGAGAGCCCGGGCTCGACACCCACACTCACCACGCCCTGCCAGAGCAGGAGGCCACTGGCCGTGCTGGTCCGAACCTCCAGCTCGATGGTCTCGGGAACTTCGGGCAGGCTGTGGTGGGGGAGAGAGTGAGGGGCAGAAATCCCAGAGGCTAGATCCTCTCCCTGCAACCTGTCCCCTCCCTGGGCCCACGGGCTGTCCCAGCATCCGTCTCACCTCCTGGAGAGGACATGGCCGGGGAGAGCTAGGAAGCCGTCATCATGGAAATAGGCTGCGTACTGCCCAGGGGCATCTGTGGGAGGAGGGGGCGATGGTGAGGCACCTCGCCAGCAAGGAGCATCCATCTCAAATCGGTTCCCTGACCTGCCTCCACCCCGACATGAACTACGACGGGGACTCAGAACCTGCAGTCCCTGGAGACCAAGAGGCCGTGGACAGAATTTAGGGGCCTGCGAACTTGGATGGGAAAATCCTACAGCTCTATTTTCACTCACTCGTCACTGAAGTTTAGCAGGTCCTTCAATTACACATGGAGGCACCTAACCGAGGGAGCAGCAGCAGGACCCGGGACTTTGTCACTATAGGAGGTATCCTTATGGCAGGACAGTGGTTGCAAATATTTCAAAACGTCGCTTATGCTTATTGAAACTGTGGTAGCTCTTAGGCCCACGACTCGATCTTGTTATTTAATGTGTTAATAAAGAAGCACATATGTTACAAATCAGAACACTTTGCATATTTTGGGAACCTTATTTTGGTATAACTGGTTTCCTCTGAAATCCTCTGTATTTCATTTGATGCGGTCAGTACGGTCCAGAGAGGTGACCAACCGTCCCCATTTGCCGAGTCCTGTCCTGGTTCGAGCTCTGGAAGTCCCACATCCTGAGCAGCCCCTCAGTCCTGAGGAGCCAGGACAGTTGGGCACTAGGTCCATGGCATATAAAAGGGTCAGAACCTTTGCGTTCCCTCCATCTTATGTGTGGGAGGACAGGCTCCGGGGGGAGGGACTTGCCCAGGAAGTGGGAAGCCTGGACGGCAACCTGGACCTTTCGGCTCCAACGTCCACACTGTGGGTGGCTCCAACATCCCCAGCCCTGCTCAGACCCATCCCACAGGCCAGCGCTGGCCCCTGTGGGCCTGGCAGCTACAAGGGGTGGGGACACTTTGCCACCTGTCACCAAATGATGAGGATAACAGCTAACACTTACTAAGCACCTGCTACGTGCCAGTCACAGTGCAGGGAGCTTCACGTCCAGCTGCAAACATCGTTTCATCTAACTTGATCCTTATAACCACCTATGACTTAGATATGATATTAACAAAAGCTAACATTCTGTACCCACTCTGGACCAGATGTTGTTCTAAGCATTTTAAATACATTAAGTCATTTTACTTTCACAAAATTCTATCCAAAGCTTTGTGGAAGGATGTTACTTCTCTCCATTTTATACATGAGGAAACTGAGGCACAGAGAGGTTAAGTGACTCGCCCAAAGTCACACAGCTAGTAAGTGGGAGGGCTTGGATTTGAACCCAGGCAGGCTGGCACTAGAGTCCACACTCTTACTCACTATCCCATTACTTCTCTTATTCTATTAGTGATAAATAAGAAGATATGTATCTATAAAGCAGTTAGCACAGTGCCTATAATTGTTCAGTAAACATTCATTTTTAAAGTTATCATTGCCTTTAAACTGATTGTGGAATCCTTGAGAGTGAGGGTCCTGCCTTATTCATCTTATATCTACTGCTCCCAGGGCAAGGGTGGGTGTACAATAAGATCTTTGTTGATGGAATGTATGAATACAGAGGAGGAAACTGAGGTCAGAGTGGTTCAAGAGCCTGCCCAAGGTCACCCAGCCAGTAAGTCCAGGGCAGGACCCGGCTCTGTGTGGTTGTGATCTTTATTCTGTCGATCTGTGCCCCGTGAGCCTCTCTCTGGGCCTGTTGTGCTAAGAGGCCAGAATTGAGGGGATGGGGTCATTGGAAGAGGGGGCCTGGAGACCTGGAGCCAGGGAGGAGACAAGCCCACTCGGCTTCCCTCGCTGGCCCAGCAAGAACGTACCATTGCCCCCGCTGCCTTCAAGATGCCAATCGGACTCCGCTGTGCCATGTCCAGAGCCTATGGAGAAAGGCAGGGTCCAGTCAGTGGACACAGATACCCACGGGGACTGTGTCCCGGGCCCCGAGAGGGAGGTGGAGAGAAGCTGGAGAGGTTACCTTGTTGGCAGCGTGGGCCAGAGAAGCCGGGGGGACAGAGGCAGTGGGTGCCCCGGCAGGTGCCCCCATGCAGACAGGGCTCCCGGAGCTGGCAGGGGTTCTCTTCGTGCTCACAGAGGTCTCCTGTGGGCCAGGGCAGAGCGAGTGGGCACGGGCTGGAGCTGCCGCTGACCACCCTCTACCCTCTTCCAGGGCACGGGCGGCTCACGCACCTTTGAAGCCATCTTGACACAGGCACTGGAACTCATACTCTCCAGCGGGCATGCATGTGGCGCCGTGCTGGCAAGGCTGGGGCTCGCACGGGGAGCTGTCGTAGCACTGCCCGATGCCCCGGCTGCCCAGGAAGCTGTAGGTGAGGTCCAACCGCTTTCCGTTCACTGACACCTGTGGGCAGAGGGACCCTGCGGGACTCACGGGATGCAGGAGGCAGGGGCATAGCTGTGCCAGCAGAGAGAAGGCAGTAAAGGGAAGCTGGGAACCCAAGATGGAACTTGAGCAGGGATTCCAGCGGAAGGAGGAACATGAGCTGAGCGCCTACTATGTGCCAGGAACATCCACAGCACAACCTTCAGTACAACTCTTCAAAGTAGGTGTAATTGTCTCCATTTGACAGAGCAGGAAACTGAGGCTCAAGGGTGAAGGGTGTGGTCCCGAGGGCCTTGGCCAAGCTGCAGGGGGAGGGCCCCGCCCCGTGTGCGCTCCCAGCCTGCTCACCTCTCCCACGCAGCCGCGGAAGGGAGCGCTTGCGTTGGCGGCCGGGGGCAGCGACACGGAGGGCTCCACGCCGCCGAGGTAGAGGAGGGTGTCGAGGTTGAGGCCCTGGCTCTTGCCGGGCGAGGAGCGCAGCACGGGGCGCCCGCCGTTCACGCGCAGGCTGCCGTCCTTGTTGAGGCGCTCCGCGGACACGCGGTGCCAGCGGCCCAGGGCCAGCGGCTCGGCGCTGCGCAGCACGGCCAGCCCTGCGGAGGACGCCAGGTGGGTCGGCGCAAGCATGGCCCCCTGCCCCGCCCCGTTCGGGGATTTGAGCAGATAGGGGCTTTCCTTCAGCCTCCCGGTGCTCCCGGAGGAAGCCGAGAGAGGTCTAGGGACTTGGCTAAAGTGACACAGAGAGAGAAGGAATGGGAAGGAACAAGGACTTGAGCCGGTCTGACCTCTGAATTTATTCCTCTGAGCCTTCTCGAGGATGGAGAGCCAAGGAGGGCACAGAGCTTGGCACTGGGAGCCCATCTACATTTGGTGTCTGGTGCTCACCTGACCCCAGCTCGTAGCGGAACTCCAGGTGGCCACCAACCATCGCCAGGGACACGAAGTCCTCCACAGGCCCGCTCTTCCCCCCACTGAACAGCAGGACTCCGTCGGGCGCCAGTGGCTTGAACTCGACATCCAGGCGTAGCTCATGGTGTGTGTTGGTGAGGGCGGGCAGTGCCAGGTAGGAGCCGGTGCCCGACATGGAGGGGGTGGTCACCGTCACACCTGCGGCAGCCACAGGTCAGCCGTGGACGGGGCGATACCGGAGTCCCAGGAGGTGTCAACTACTCAGCCTTCCTCCAGGACTCCTGCCCACCCCACTCTCTAGTCCCAGCGGCTCAGGATCAGCTGGGCAACAGCTGTAGCAGCACAAGAGCCCCCCGGCACTGCGGCCCAGGCTAGAAGGATCTCCAATAAGGTAGGGGTCCCCTTTGGGGGTCCTCAGGTAAGGGATTCAGACTGGGCAGAAGCTTGGCCAGGTGACTTTGAGGCCCTCTGGCTCTGGAATAATTTTATCATCCATAGGGCCCATCATGGCCTCAGATGCTCTGCCCAGCTTCCCCCGTCCTTACTGGGATCCTGGGGGTCCCAGGCCCGGCTCCACTCACCTTCCTCACACCTTATCCCCGAGCGGCCCAGGTGGCAGCGGCAGGTGTAGCCTCGGCCGTCGGGCCGGTTCACACAGGTGGCGTCGGGCCCACAGGCCTCTGGGAGACACACGGGCCAGCAAGGAGGACATTGAGGTAGCCCGGGAGAGGGTGGGGTCCTGATACCAAGGCCCCACCTGTTGCACCCCAGGGGTCTCGGTCAGTTAGGGCCAGGCCAGCCTGGGTGGGCTGTCGGAGACCGGGGAGCACGACTGGGTTAGAGCAAGGGTGGGGAGGGGGGGCCAGAGGAGGCTGGGAAGGGGACAGCATGGGGGGAGGGGAGCAAGCGACTGTTAGTCTGTGGTGCTCTTGAAAGACTGTAGCTGGATAACAGTGGGGTCCATGAGGACCTGGGCAGCAGGTAGTGGGGCGAGCACCTTGGTAGCAGATGGGAAGGTGGTGGGTACCTGGGGAGCAGTGATGGGGCTGGGGGAGTGCCTGGGGAGCACCGATGGGGGTAGGATGAGTAGTGGGGTGGCTATGATGGGGGGTGAGTACCTGGGCAGCAGAGATGGGAGGCAGCGTGAGTATTAGGGTGGCAGGGATGGCAGCCACGATCTAGGAGGGGTGGTAAGTACTCGGTTAAGCGTGATTGAGCGTGGTAAGTACAGTTAGCAGTGGGCCTGGGGTGGATATGAAGGGACGGCAATGGGCAGAGGCAAGCCCCCAGGGGTGGCAGTGATGGGGAGGTGTACACACCTGGGTGGCAGTGCAGGGCCTGCGAGTGTTCACAGCGGCTCCCGGTGAAGCCAGGCAGGCAGACGCACACGTAGCTGCTGCTCTCCGAGTCCTGGCACTGGCCCCCGTTCTGCAAAGCAGCCCCCAGAAGTCAGTCTGAGAACACGCTGGTCCTGCTCCACTCCCCAGAGGGGCCTACCACGGCTGAGGGCAGTGGCCAGGGGCAGCCAGGCGGCGTGTGCGGCGTGGGGTTACCTGGCACGGCCGGTCCCGACAGGTGGGGCAGTGGGAGATGCCGTGCGCTGTAAGGTTGAGGTCATGGAAGACGATCTCCTCGCCCTGGATGCGCAGCTCCCGGACGCAGCCTGGGGGGTGGGCAGGCAGGATGAGCAAAGGTGGGGGCCTCCCAGGTTCCCACGGGCTCTGTCAGCCGGGTGAGGCTTGGCGAGGGCTGGAGGCGGGTGGGGGGCTCACCTATGAAGCCACTGCTCAGCCCTGCCTTGGGGATGGCACTGTAGTCAGGGTAGCCGCCCAGGTAGAGCTCCTCGTTCAGGTCCAGGCCCTGGAACTTGCCCTGGGCAGTGCGGAAGGCGGGAATGGCAGAGAGGCCAGGCAGGGGTGGGGAGGGGGCTGGGAGAGGGGGACGGGGTCGGCTCTCACCTGGGAGGTCCCGTTGACTGGGGCCAGGCTGCCCACAATCAGGGAGCCCTGAGTGAGGCTGCGCAGCAGGGTCACCGTGTGGAACTGGCCCAGCGCCAGCGGTGTGGGGTGGCGGATGGTGGCCATGCCTGAGCCTGCGTCAAAGCTGCTCCACGGGGCAGGGCCGGGGCAGAAGAAAGTAGACATGGGGTTCGTAAGAAGAGCTAGCAGGGGGCCCAGCCTGGGCAAAGGGGATGCCACCATTCCCTGCAGTCCTGCTCCACTTCCTGTCCCTGCCTTGTCCTCCCACCCCATTCCCCACCCCAGCCCTCCACTTCCTGCCCAGGTCTCCTCCTCTCCCCCACCCTTTCCTTGGAGCCTTGGAGCTCCAAGTGCCCTTGGCTCCGGGGCCCTGCAGCCCAGCACCTGGACTCACTCTTCTTCTGGGCACCCCTCCCTCTGAGAGCACCCTGTCTCTTTCCTTCTTGCTTTATGGCTGGTCTTCCCCGACTAGAATATACCTTCTCACATTTTGTATATCCCTCTATCAGTGCCTGGCACATAGGAGGTGCTCAGCAAATAACTGTTGAATGAATGAATGAACGAACGAACGAATGAATCCTGGCCTGCAGCAGTGCCACCCTGTAAGCACAGGCTGCTTCCTCCTCCACCAGGCTGGCATACCGTGCCTACTCCAGCAGATCGGGTGGTCGCCGAGGGTAACAGCCACCTCTCCTTCCCCAGCACCTCCTCTGTACGACCCGGCCCAGGTGTGTGCCTGACTAAGCCCTGCCGTCCAGTCCCCCAGCCCCCTCTCCCCAGGGAACGGGGAGGGCGAGGGTCTCACCGGAACTCGGGCCTCCCACCCACGAGGCCGAAGGAGATGAAGTCGGGCTGCCTGTGGGCCAGGCTGGCGGGGCTCCCTGGGCTCTGCTTCTGCCCATTGTACAGCAGCATCCCTGGGCGGGCACAGCTGTGTCAGGGCCTCCCCTCCCGCTCCCTGTCTGCCCCAGCCCCAGGGGTGTGAATGGCCCCAGCTCGTGAGCCTTTCCACTCTGACGCCTGTCCCTCCCTCTGGCACAGCCCGCATGGCCTTCCCACTCTCTCCAGATGGTGCCCGAATAGAAGGGCCTTGTGAGAGCCCCTGAAGGACATGGAATTTGCTTCACTCACACTGCAGGGTCGACCTGAAGGAGGAGAGGGGGGCAGAGACTCACCCGAGTAGAGAAGGAGGCCTGGACAGTGAAAGTCAGAGACCGTAAGAGATGGGAGGAGACAGGTGAGAGAGAGAGAGGAGGAAAGGGTGAGAGATGGGAGACAAAGGAGGCAGGAGGACAGAGAGGGGGACAGGAAGATGGGATGGGGGACTGGGTGTGGATGCACCAATGGCAGAGCGACCATGAGGAGGCTCCAGGTGGGAGGTTATCACGGAGGCAGAAACGGAGAAGGGAGGAGGCACCAAGGGGAGGCCCGGCAGGCCTGGGGGCGCCAGGACAGGGAGGACCAAGGGAGGTGGGTGGCCCCGGGGCTGCTGGGGCCCAAATGGTGATGGCAGTTACTCCAGGAGATCCCCTGCCCCAGACCCCCCACATCAGCTCCTCTCGTGCTCACCATCGGCTGAGTCAGGGCGGAAGGTGATCCTGATCTCAAACTTCCTGTAGGCATCCTTGATGGTGGGCAGCGGCAGGAAGGAGTGGGGGGTCTGGGTGAAGTAGGGCACCACCCGCTCTGCCGGCAGAGAGCAGTTAGAGTGACGCCCTCCGGGCAGTGGGTGGGCACCGCCATTCTGGGGCTGTCTTACCTGGCACCCGCAGCTGGGCGAAGGCTTTGACCTTGCCCTGGCGGTTCGTGGCAGTGCAGACGTAGGTGCCCGCGTCCTGGGGGCGGACCGAGGGCAGCACTAGCATGTTGTTCTCCAGGCGGCTGTCGGGGGGCAGGTTACCATCCAGCTGCAAACACAGCCATGCTTTGGACCCTGGCCTCGGCCCGCACCTCCACAGGGCCTGTCTCCCATCTCCTGCACGCCTGCCCTTAGGCCCTAAGCACGTACTGTGTGCCAAGCCTGGGCCACGTCCTGGGGGCACTGAGATGGTGACAACCCGGTGCCTGCCCCTCAGGCATGCCTGCTGGTCCCCTGCCCAGCATTTACCTTGCTCCAGGTGATGTCAGGAGTGGGGTAGCCAGAAGCCATGCAGGGGAAGACGGCTGTAGAACCAGCAGGCACATGGACCTCGGGGGGTGTTGAGATCTGGGGCAAGGCTAAGAGGGGGAAGGAGAGACAGGCCACCAACCTGATGACAGCCACCATTTGTGAGCCCAGGCTGTACCCCAATTTGCTTAATCCTCACACCATCCCTTGAAGGGAGGCACCGTGTCCCTGTTTCACAGATGAGGAAATTGTGGCTGCTCCCTCTTAGCTGCACAGAAGTGGGCAGAGTCAGGGCTCTGGAACAGCCCCAGACTCTTCAACACACCTGGGCAGAAGAATGTCCAGCCCTCTGGGGTCCTGAGAAGTGGGTAGTAGGGCAGTGAGAGTCTGGAAGTTTGGGGGCAAGTCATACGGTTTGGGGTGAAAAGGAATTGCCTCTGAAGGAAACGTGGATTTGTGTGTCCTGCACCCACTGCTCCTGCTTCACTCTCTTTCGTCTCTGTTCTGTGTTATGCTGTCTCTGCCATCAGACTGGGCTGTAGGCCTCCCTTGTCAGAGCAGAGGACTACAGACCCATTTTCCTCTTGACACCCCATGGTGTAGCCCAGCCCTGCAAGTTCCAGCCCCCCCAGAACACTCACCTTTACCCCTGGCTGCCCCCACTTATTGTGAAACCTGCCCCTTAGATACACAGAACTGAAAATTCCCAAGAGAGTGGGAAGGAGTGCAATGCAGGCAAGGCCAGAGCAGGTAGCTCGAGAAGCCCGTCCCCACACGAGCCCCCGCCGCCTTCACCTTGCACGAGCAGCAGCACGTGGGACTGGGTGGTGCCGGCGGCGTTGGTGGCCGTGCAGCGGTACTGTCCCGCGTCAGCCAGCTCCACGTGGGCGATCCTGACGATGCCTCCGCTCTGGACAATGCCAGGCCGCAGGCGCCCTCCAACTTTGCTCCACGTCACCTGAGGCTTGGGGTCCCCCAGCGCCAGGCACTCGAACTCCACGGCATGGCCGACCACCACGGTCTGCACGGACGTCCGGATGTTGATGAGCACCGAGGGCAGGGCTGGGGCGAGGGTGGCAGAGGCAGAGTGAGGCCAGCCTGCTGGAGCCTGGCCCGAGGCTGCAGACGGCCCCGGAAAAGGGGGCACTGGGGCCTAGGCATTCGTTCACTTCTCCACGTGCTCTTCCGCGCGTTCACGTTACCGCACTCGCTCGTCTGCTCTGCTGTTCATTCGTTTCCGCGCTTGGGCATCCACGGGGCTTCTTCGTTGGCTGGTCTGCGCACCCACCCGCTCCACCTGTGCCCCTTCTTCCTCCCTTGCGATATTTGTCAAGCCCCCTCACTCTATGCTAGACACAAGCAACATTACAATCGAGTAATTCTCTTCATTCGTACACATTTAAGGGGCTTCCTAGGGAACAGGGTCCCTGTGCCCTCCTCTCTGTCCCCTGCTCTCAGCAGAGGCCTGAAGCCACTCTCCTACCTTGGACAACCAGCTGGGCACTGGCCTGGGCCTGGCCCCATGGTCCATAGGCCTGGCAAATATATGTCCCTTGGCAGCTCTGGTCCAAGTTCTGGATTCTGTAAAGAAAAAATCAGATATCAGTGAATAAAAACAATTATGAGAGTGCTTTGCACTGGCGTGGGAGTTACAGCTGCCAGAGGTTAGCACACGGGGGAAACTTCTAGTCTCTCAATAACCAATAGGCAAGGTAGGTGGGCAGGCAGGATGGGTGTCACTACACCCATTTGGGACTGAGACCGTGCTCTCTAGAGGGCAAGATCACGCAGTCGTGGAGCAGCAGAGCTGAGATCTGCGCCGTGTGTATACCTGGTCTCGGCCTGTTCTCTTTCCTCTAACAATAATGATACGAATGCTGGCCACCGTTCACCGAAAGCCTTCCACGTGCTCAGCACCGTGGTAAATCCTTCAGATAATCTCATTTCCGTCTCCTATAACCCACCGCACAGCTGAGGCTCAGAGAGGGGAGGTGCCTTGCCCAAGGACATTGTTTCAGGCTGAGCCCCACAGGGCAGGTGGTTTTTTTTTTAAAGATTTTATTTTTTTCCTTTTTTTCCCCAAAGCCCCCCAGTACATAGTTGTGTATTTTTAGTTGTGGGTCCTTCTAGTTGTGGCATGTGGGACACTGCCTCAGCATGGCTTGTGCCATGTCCGCACCCAGGATTTGAACCGACGAAACACTGGGCTGCCTGCAGTGGAGCGCGCGAACTTAACCACTTGGCCACGGGGCCAGCTCCGAGGGCAGGTGTTCTAACAGCTCCACTGTGTGCCTTCAGCTGGGGCGCCCAAGTTCAGTCCTGCCCCCACCCCCACTCACCGGAGCACCCCATCCTGCACGCTGTGGCCAGGAGGCAGGTGACCCCCTTCCTTGATCCAACGAAGCTGGGTGCCCCGGTCGCTGGGCACGGCACAATGGAACTCAACGCTGGCCCCTATGCTCTTGGTCTCCAGCTGAGGCGTGACCTGAACGGTGGGCGTGGATCCTGCTGGGACAGCAGTGGCCGGGAGAGAGCCAGAGGGGCCTGTGGGGACATTTGCGAGGTTCTGCATATATGTGTGTCATATCCCTGACGCTCCTGCCACCCCCCCAGGACCCAGGAAACTCCCATCCTAACGTTCAAGGGCTGTTCTTCTCCTGGTAGCCTCTCTGACCAGGGAGAAAAGACCTTCCACTGGCAGAAGGACGCATTTGCTCACTTGCGTATTCATTCAATCAACACATTTAAGAGCCTGTGGAGCGCTGGGCTCTGCTTTCGGGAGGGGAGTAGAGGGAAGCCCCAGGCAAGAGTGCAAGGGGTCAGTCTTGGAAAGATTTAGACATTTTAAGCAAGGACAGCAAAGACTCTAGTCTAACATAAGAGAATCTGTGGTCATGGGGAAGGCACCCACATGTCCTCATGCGGGGGGTGGGTGGGAGGGTAAGTGCCGATACATATCATCATCATTTGAAGTGCCTACTGCATGCCACGGGCTTTACATACGGGTATCTTTCTAAGTCAGCCTAAGTGCTGGCACTGTCTCTCCACCCTACAGATGAAGAAACTGAGGCTTGGCCAAGGTCACACAACCAGCAAGTCACCGAGCACTGAACCCACGCTCAGTGTAGCCCAGGCTCTTGACCACTGGGCTATGTGCTTTTCTGCTTCTAGAATTTGGGGCCCAACAGAACTTGTTGGCTTTGTGTCACTGACAGAGGAGACCATGGAGATGCTGGGTTCTTTGGAGATCCACTGAAACCCTGAGCATGCCCGGGGGCGGTGCTGCCCTGCCACACAGTCACTGTCCAGCATTTACCCAGCCCGTTCTGGCCCTGTGGTGGACAAGCCTGGGCTTCTAAGATGACTGGGTCCAGGCCCTGCCCTGCGTCTCTTGAGTCTCGCAGGTGAGGCAGGCTGGGGTACTTCTGTAAACCTACAGCCGCTGGCAGTGGGAGCTCAACGCCAAGGGAGGGATGCAGCAATGAGAGCTAGAGCTGCTGAGAAGCTGATGGGGCTCTTCCTGGAGGAGGCAGGCCTGCCTTGGGCGTTAAAGAAGGGAAAGCCAGGCATTCCAGGTGGGGCAATGGAGGGAGGCCTTGTACCCCAAGTGGGGGTCCCCTGGTGCCAGTTGCTGGGTGACTGAAAGGCTCAGACAAGGGCCTGGAGGAAAGCTGACCCCCTTCTGCCCAGCCTGACCCAGGGCTGCTCACCTTGGACGACCACGTGGGCGAAGGCCTCAGCCGAGCCCACCCTATTGGTGACCCGGCAGCGGTAGCGGCCTGAGTCCTCGGGGGCGGCGGGCTCAAAGTGCAGCATCTCGTTCCTGGCGGTCACCCTCCCAGAGAGGCTGCCCCCCACGCGGCTCCACTGGAAGGTGAGCGGGGGTGTCCCGTGAGCCAGGCACTGAAGCTGCACCGTCTCCCCTGCCTGCACCGAAGCGTGCTCCGGGACTGTGGTGGCATACGGTGGGCCTGGGGTGGGGGACATAGAGGTCAGAGTTGGGAGGAGCAGACGTCGAGATGGGAACAGGTGTCGGGTCCAGGAGACTTGCCAAAGGACCAGGGAGGCTGAGTGGGGAGCCTGGAGGACTGGGGATGAGGGGAGCAAAGGTTCCAGGCGGGCATATGGGTTTCAGGCTAGGGTAGGCTCTGGGAGGCTGAGGTATGGGGCCCTCTGGATGGGGTTCCTGGGGTTCTGTCCAGGGTGCAGCCTGGTGGGGGGCGGATGAGTGCCTTACTCTCTACGTGCAGGGCGATGGTGGCCTCAGCGTGCCCGGCAGGGCTAGTGGCGTTGCAGATGTACTGGCCCGAGTCCTGCTGGGCTACCCGGGGGATGATCAGCGTGTTGCCTTCCAGCTGGTGCTGCCAGGGCAGTGGGGAGCGCAGCTTGGACCAGTGGATGGTGGGCGTGGGGCTGCCTGCGGAGTCAAGTGGAAGATGGCAGCGATTGCTGGGCTGCCCCAAGGACCAGCGGAGGGTGGCGACGTTGAGGAAGGGACCCGGGTGATCTGGCCCCTTTGTGGGGGGCACTAAGTGGGCACCTCAGCCATCACTGGGAGATGCCAGCAGCAAAACCCCCTCCCCAGGCATGACATCATCTTCAGATCTCTTGTGTCTACAATGCAGGCCCCAGGCACCACTGCTCTGCCTGCCCCGTGTGTCAGCCCCCGTCCACACCTGTGGCTGAGCAGCGCAGGGTGGCCGTGTGTCCAGCCTCCACAGTCAGCTCGGCTTCTTCAACCTGGACCTGGGGGGCCCCTGGGGCCACGGTGCCCATGTCCACAATCACTTCCACCCGCTTCTGTGCTGTGCCCAGTGCATTCTGAGCTAGGCACACATAGGTGCCCGCATCTGATGGTTTAGCTGATGAAATCTGGAAGAAAACAAGGAGGTTGATTATGCGGGCACTGAAGAGGGACCTTTGCATCAGCCCCCAGCTCTGGTTTAGTTTTATCTCCTTTCTCTACCCTTCCCTTTGTTTTGAGCTCTCCTATCTGACAGGCTGCTTAAGGCGTCACACCCAAAACATCCCATTGGTCCATCAACCCACCGATCCATCCATGTACCCACCTACCCACCCACCCACCCAACCATACTTCCACTATCCACCTACCCGTCTACCTACCCACCTACCTGTTCCACCCATGCATCCATCCTTCCAACCATTCTTTCTTCCCTTCTTCCACCTTCCCTCTTTCTTCCTGCCTATCTTCTAATCTTCCCCTCATCTACCTATCCCAACCCCCTCTTTCTCTCTCCATCGATTCATTATCCATCTGCCTATCCACCACTTTTCCCTCCAAGCATCTGCTCAAGGATGGGCCTGGCCTCTGGCCAAAGGGAGGCCACGCCTCACCTGCAGCACCGTGTGGCTGTCCACGGGCCCATATGTCTGCTGCTCCACCTTGGCAGGGGTGCCGATCCGGGTCCAGCGAGCAGAAGAGCGGGGCTCCCCAGCACTAACACACTCCAGGGCGACTGCCTTTCCCACTTTCACCCACACGGGGCCCTCAGGAAGCACAGACACCGTAGGGGGCCCTGTCCAGAGGAACGACACGACTGATGTACATGCGGAGCTCTGCTGGTCACGTGCACTGTCACAGATCCCTTCTCAGTAACTGCCATGTGGGCACTAGTCTCCCCACTGCACTGACGTGGAAACTGAGGCTCAGAGAGGGGGAATGCTCAAGAGGGAGGCAGTGGCAGAGGCAGGACTTAAACCTGGAGGTTCTGAGCTCAGAATGAGGGCTGGAGACAGGCTGGCAGAGCCCATGGGTTCACGCTCCTCACCATGCACACTGAGGTTCACGACACTCTGGGCCACGCCATAGGCATTGGAGGCCACGCAGCGGTAGGCACCATGGTTGCTGGGCCGGGTACCCACGATGGTGATGATGGAGCCATTGGGGCTGATGTGGACATTGTCTGTTGGAGTGGCATTGGGAAGGTATAGTCAGTGAGGGTGGTCCTCATGCCTTGGCGCTGCCTCTGCCCTGTGCCCCCGACCCCTCCAGCCTGGGCGTGTCCAGCTCACAGGGTCACAGACAGCAGGTGAAAGAGTCTTTGGGGACGCCTGGGTCCAGCCCCCTCACCATCCGGATGGGGCCACTGAGGCTCCAGAGGGGAAGAACCTTCCCCAGGGTCATACCAGGAGTTTGGTGCTATGCTTGGCCTCTGCCCCATCCACAGCGGTGATCACCAGGCATTCCTACCTTCCTCCAGCCCACCCACCCTGCCCAGCTCACCTTCCAGCTCTTGGTTCCGAGTCTTCCACTCCAGGCTGATGGGGGCTGCCCCGTCATGGATGAGGCACTTGAAGCTGGCGTCTTGACCCTGCTGCACGGTGCTGCTGGGCGGCTCGATAGAGATGACGGGGCTCCTAAGGCCTGGGGGATGAGGCAGGTGGAGGGCTGGGCTCTGGGGCTGGGTTGGCTCGACCCCGCTGCCTCAGCTCCAGGGTCTCTCTCCCTCCCCTGCCCATGGCATCTGCCACACTCACGGTAGGAGGACCCCGCACTGGGTGGGACAGTGACTGTGAAGGAGGCCTCCTGCTCAGGGCCTGAGCCGCCAACCACACGGCACACGTACTCGCCAGAGTCGGCGGGGGAGACGTGGTGGAGCCGCAGCCGGGAGCCATGGGTCTGTCGGAGCGAGGAGGGGGCAGCCATCAGGCCAAAGTACTTGGGATAGGGCAAGTCCCCACGCCCGGCTCTGCCAGTGCCCAAGAGTCCCCTCTCGGGTCTTAGGAGCTCCGGGCTCCAGCTGGTGGGAATGAAGGAGCCTCATTCACAGAATCCTACGAGTCCAACCCACCCACTTTATAGAGGCGCAAACTGGCTCAAGAAACGATTCAGCAGCAGAGCCAGGAGAAAAACCCAGGTCTCAACTCCAGGCTGGCAAATTGTTCCCCAAAAGGTATCCTATCTCCTGGGGGTCCCAAGCAGGCCAGGGTTGGCATGAGATTTGGGGTGCAGAAGGCGACTGCAGGTTGATCCTTGCCTGCCCTGGAACCCTCCCCATCCTGGTCACCGTACCTGGTGCCGGGCAGGGAGGCTGCCCCCACGCTTGTGCCACGTGACCTGGGCGTGAGGCTGCCGAGGCACCACACAGTTCAGGTCCAGGGTCTGCCCTTCGGCCACGTGGGAGGAGGAGGCCTCAATGTAGATGGGCTGTGCCAGTCCTGGGGCTGTGGGCACAACGGGTGGGTGAGAAAGGCAAGGTTCCAGGGGGTGAAGGCAGGGACACAGGTGGAGGCAGTAAATGCCGACTGGCCCTCCTGGAGTGCAGAGGCTTGAGGGTGACTGACACGGCTGAGCGCCATCGACCTAAGAAGAGTCTCCATTCCCTGGGGGCCAGCTTGCTGTGATGAGACCCAGGACTGGTCCCTAGTGGTTGGGGGAGGGGCTGGAGGACATTCACAGCGCTGAGAGCTCCATGCTTCTGCTGGGAGAGCAGGGAGGAGCAAGGCCAGGAAGGGGCCCCCACACCCATGCCCCAGCATCGCCCACTGCCCCTGTCACTCACCAGGAATGGGGCGCGGGCTGGAGGCCTCAATTGTGACCAGGACAGAAGCCTCTAGGGTGCCTGAGCTGCCGGTCACTTGGCATGAGTACTCGCCAGAGTCAGCCGGGGACACCTGGTTCAGCCTCAGCAGGGGGCCATGGACCTGGTCAGGGTCGGGGCAACAGTTGGGAGAGTGAGCTCGGGGGCCAAGGGCCAAGGCCTTCAGATGCCCAAGCCCCCTGGTACCTGGTCCCCAGGACCGTCATGGACAGTTATGTAGGCTGCATCTTGTCAAAGGTGACCCCCTCTGACATTAGACATTGTGGAGTAGGTTTATTAGGACACTTTTCTGCTAGGAGAAAGTCCAGTGTCCTGAGTAAGAGGTGTCCTTTTCTCATTTGTGCCAAGGTGCTAGGGGGCCAGAGGTGGCCCTTTTTTGCCCAGGCTGTTCTTGACCTCCTCATTCCCAGTGATTTCCTGCTGCAATTTTCCCAAAGCCCTGGATGTTGGGGCCACCTTCCCTCTAGGGCTGGGTTCAGGCAGGACTGCCCGCACAGGAGGTGGGATGGGATGGGGTGTGCCCACATCCTGCTTTCTCTAGCCCCTATACCTGGTGCCGGGCAGGGAGACTGCCCCCACGCCTGTGCCATGTGACCTGGGCATGCGCCTGCCCAGGCACCACGCACTTCAGATCCAGGGTCTGCCCTTCAGCCACGTGGGAGGAGGAGGTCTCGATGCGGATGGGTGGGACTCCGCCTGGAGCTGGGGCACAGGAAGAGGTCAGTGAGCTGGGACCCCCACCCCTGTGCCCTCAGCCCCTGCCCCTGGGTGCCCAGATGTTCAGACTAGAGGCCATGGGGAGGTGGCCTCGATTCCCCCTTCCCATTCCCCTGAGGCCTGGGGCGGCTGGGCTAGCCTGGGCGGGTAGAGCACCTCATTCTCCTGGCCCTGCCCCAGACAATGGCCCCACCATCAGCTCATGTGCTCCCAGCACCACTGGCGGCCAGGGCTCAGGGCCAGGCACCTCCACACAGATCACTAATGCTTCCCAAACTTGAGTAGCATGTGGCTAAGAACCCGGACTCTGGGGCCAGACTGCCGGGGTTCAAAACCCAGCTCTGCCGTGGATCAGCTGTGTGCCCTCTGGAAAGCTACTTCACCTCTCCTTGTCTCAGTTTCCCCAGTAAAAGGGAGAGAACAATCACACCTACCTCAAAGGGTTATTGCGAGGATGAAACGAGATAATGCATAGATGTGATAGGGCCCACACCTACTAAGTGCTATATCTTGTTTATTACTTAGCAATTCACGTGCTGCTACCAGGACGTCTGCTACAGCCACGCGCTCCCTGTGCTATCCATTACTTTGCATTTTCCTTTCACTGATTCATTAAAAATAATCCTTAAATACTTAGCTCCATTATAGGCAACGATTTCTGTGAAATCATGACAGGTTTGATGTGCTGCTGTTTTTTCCCTAATATGCCCCTATTTTATCACCTAAGATCACCCTCACATGGCCCCAGAGGTGCAGCTCCAGCCTCTGGGGAACTCATGAAACTGGTGCAAGAGCTGCTATCCCCCCTTTACAGACTAGGAAGGGGAAACGCGAAGAGAAGTCCCTTGTGTGACCGCTCAGGTGTGGACAGAGGGGCTGAGACTCACACCCACAGATGACAGACTCTGAAGTCCGTGCTCTCGGGCCCTAGAGATGAAGCCCCCTTCACCTGCCTCCCGATCTCTGCCTGCTGGTCCTTCCCCACCTCCCTTCCCCAGCCTCCCAGCCCCACCGGAGGGACCCTCACCAGGGACAGGAACAGCGCTAGAGCCAGAGGCCTCGATGGTGACCAGGACCGAGGCCTCCAGGGGGCCAGAGCTGCTCACCACACGGCACACGTACTCGCCCGAGTCAGCTGGGGACACCTGGTGTAGCCGCAGCCGTGAGCCGTGGGCCTGAGCGGGGACAGGACGGGGAGACAGAGGAGCAAAGTGAGATGGCAGTCGACATCCTTGAAGGCCTGGGGCCAGGGTCTAACCTCTGACGCAGGCAGGCGCTGCAGCCCATGGGAGCTCCCAGACCTCCTTCCTGGGCGGAGCCTGGGGGATGGACCCCTAGGCAGGGCCCCCACATGCAGCAGCCCTCCCACTATTTCCTGCCGCCAACTCCCATACCTGGTGGTGAGGGGGGAGGCTGCCCCCACGCCTGTGCCACGTGACCTGGGCATGGGCCTGTCCAGGGACCACGCAGTTCAGATCCAGGGTCTGCCCTTCAGCCACGTGTGAAGATGACGACTCAATTCTGATGGGCACAGAACCGCCAGGGACTGGGGGCACAGAGACAGCAAATCGGGGCTTTGGCTATAGGCAAATTTGGGAACAGCTGGGATGGTGGGCGCCTTAGCTGTAGAAACCCCCCTCTCTCAAGATAATAATAATAGCCAACACTTATAGCATGCCAGGCTCTGTTCTAAGCACTGTATGTGTATTCACTCATTTAATCCTCACAAAGTTCATAAACTTTCCCCGATGATGGAAATGTCCCATCATCTACACTGTCCAATACAGTAGCTACTAGCCACGTGTGGCTATTGAGCACCTGAAATGTGGGGATGTGAATTTTTTTTTTGAGGAAGATTAGCCCTGAGCTAACATCTGCTGCCAATCCTCCTCTTTTTGCTGAGGAAGACTGGCCCTGAGCTAACATCCATGCCCATCTTCCTCCACTTTATATGTGGGACGCCTACCACAGCATGGCGTGCCAAGCGGTGCCATGTCTGCACCCGGGATCTGAACCAGTGAACCCTGGGCCGCCGAAGTGGAACGTGCGAACTTAACCCCTGTGTCACCGGGCTGGCCCCGGGGATGTGGATTTTAAACTGTAACTAATTTTAATTGCCACACGTGGCTGGCGGCCACTGTACTGGACAACTCTGTGAAGATGGAACGACCGATATCCCCATTTTGCTGAGAGGAGGGTAACTCATCCAAGCCCCTTAGTGGTGTGGGCAGGATTCGAATCCAGGCACCTTTCTGCAGAGCCTTGCCCTGGACCACAAGCCTCGCCTAAGGGCTCTGACTACAGAGCTCCTCCTCTGCAGGGAGCACTGTGACCTGCGTCTCTGGTCCCTCCTCGGGCCTCCCTCAGACTCACCGGAGGGGCTGCCGGCGCTGGGGGAGACTGAGACCATGATGGAGGCCTCCTGGGCGTCGATGTTGTTGTTAGCCCGGCACACGTACTCGCCCGAGTCAGCCACAGACATCTGGTGCAGCCGCAGGCGGGAGCCATGGGCCTGGGGGGGCAGGTGGGGAAGGGCGGGGAGAGGGAGTCGAGGGGCAGAGGGGTCATGGGCTGGCTCAGGCCTCCTCCCAGCCTCCCTTGTCAGACTTGCTCATACTACCCTCTGTCTAGCCAGGGCAGGAGGCACGACTGCCCCAGGACTGCCAGCTAATCCTTTGGGTTCTTTGCCCACGGGGCTGTCCCTGCACTGCCCACCCCGGGAGGCAGGGATTCCGTCCCCACTGCCACGGTTCCACTCTGTACCTGGTGTCGGGCAGGAAGGCTGCCCCCACGCTTGTACCATGTGATGGTGGCCTGGGGCTGCCCAGCGACCACACAGTTCAGATCCAAGGTCTGCCCTTCGACCACTGTGGGGGACGAGGACTCGATCCTGATGGGTGGGGACACGCTGGGCACTTGGGACAGAGAGAGACAGACCACACAGCGAGAGTCAGATACCAGGGACAGTGCTGGGGACTCTGCCTCCCCCCTGCACCCACTTGTCCGGACCCCCTCCTCACCGTGGGAGGAGCCACTGCCCTGGATGGTGACGATGAGTGAGGTCTCCTGGGAGCCAGCACCATTACTGACGTGACATACGTACTCTCCCGAGTCGGCTGGCGTCACCTGGGGGATCCGCAGCCGGGAGCCCACGATCTGGAGGGGAATAGGTATCAGCGGGTGGGGGCAGCCCCTCCACATCCCGGGCACTGCTGCTGCTGCCCCCAGACTCCAGGAGCCTCCCTCTCTTGCCTGGGGTCTGCCCCCACCCCAGTCCGCAGGGGTTCTTCTGCGGGGCCTTCCTGAGGCTCCGGGCTGGGGTGGACAGTGCCCCTAGCCTTTGTACTGTTCTCACCCCTCACCCCTGCAGCAAGCCCACTGAGGCCTTCCCTGGTGACTCCACAGAGCCCTGCTGTGGCTCCTATTGCATGTGGCATGTCTGCCTCGCCCTCTGGCCTGTGAGCTCCCTGAGGGCAGGCACCTGTCTCATTCCATTTGGAATCCTTAGTGCCAGGCACAGGACTTAGCCTGGAGCAGGTTCTCAGGGAAATTTAGTGAGTGAATCATAGAACGTTTTGTTCAAATATAGGATCCAACTGAGGTCAGTGGGATGATCTCTGTATCCTCAGCACTGGTCCAAGGCCCATCTAGCAACAACACTCAATGTTTGTTGAATGACTGAATGAGCACAGAGGAGGTGCTAAGATCCCCTGCTGATTCCTGTCAGAACGGGTGTGCCCAGTTTTTGTCTTCCTTGCCTGCTGGCTCCATACCTGGTGCCGGCTGGGTAGGCTGCCTCCACGCTTATACCAGGTGATAGTGTGGGGGGCTTGGCTGGTCACTAGACAGTTGAGGTCCAGAGTATGTCCATTGGCCAGGGAGGATGAGGAGGACTCAATGCGGACGGGGTATACCACACCCTGGGCTGGGAGAGGGGACAGGAGGCAGGATGTGGGAGCCGCTGAGGGTGGAGGGGCCCTAGCAGCCCCCACTGTTTGCTATGACCCCCGAGACACTCACTGTGGGAGGGGCTAAGACGCTGCTGGATGGTGACGAGGACTGAGGCTTCCTGGGTGCCCGAGCTGCTGACCACGCGGCACACGTACTCCCCGGAGTCGGCTGGAGTCACCTGGGGCAGCCGCAGCCTTGAGCCATGCACCTGGGAGGGTCGGGAGGGAGGCAGGCTCAGAGCCGGGCTCGGCGGCTCCCAGCCAGGCTGCTACTCCCTTGCCTGGCCTCCTCCTAGTCTGGCCCAGGCAGCTGGAGCTTGAGGGGGCTCTTCCAGGGAGAACCACCATTCATGAGCCCCCAGTTCCCCTGCCCCAGTGTTGGGACTGGGCCTGGTGGGAAGAAGCAGGGCACCAGTGTTTGTTGATGTGCTATGGCGCAGGTGAGGTAGGCAGTGTGAGCCCATTTGACAGACAAGGACACTGAGGATCAGGGAAGCCAAATGACAGCCTAAAGCCACACAGCAGGCAAGTGGAGAGCAGCATCTGAACTTGAATATGCCTGAATTCAAAGCCTGTGCTCCTTATTCTGCAGTCACAGGGTTCTTTAGCCCCGCCCCCCCAGCTCCCCGCCTCCTACCTGGTGCCGGGCGGGGAGGCTGCCCCCACGCTTGTGCCACGTGATCTGGGCATGGGCCTGCCCAGCGACCAGGCAGTTCAGATCCAGGGTCTGGCCTTCAGCCACATGTGAGGAGGAGGACTCGATCCGGACTGGGGGGGTGACCCCAAGTGCTGGGGACAGAGGGCAGAGGGTCAACCCCCGGCTGGGAGGGCAGGAGGAGAGGGGGGTGTAAGTGGAGCTAGGGGCTGTTGGTCTTGTGGGATCCTGCCATTGCTGGAGTGGTGAGCCCCACTGCTAGAATGGGGAGCCCCAGTGCCAGAGTCAGGGGTCCCCAGCCCTGCCCTCCCTCGAGTGCCACTCACCAGGCATAGAGCTTGCAGGCTCAATGGTCACCAAGACGGAGGCCTCCAGGGGCACTGAGCCACCCCCCACGCGGCACACATACTCGCCCGAGTCGGCTGGGGACACCTGGTGTAGCCTCAGCAGTGAGCCGTGGGTCTGGTCGGATGGAGGTGCGGTCAGAGGGGGCCCTCGAGGGACCCCTGCATCTCTGACCCGCAACCCTGCCTCGCTCTCTGACCCCCGAGGCCTGGCCATCAGCTCTGTCCTGCTTAGGGATGGAGACGGGGGTTTCATCCCCGGAGTAGGGGGTGGACAACAGGAGTCCCAGTGAACTGCAAACACTGCCACCTTCTCTCGGTTCTCAGACACACTTCAGTGTCTCTGAAATCAAGATGCGTCTTACAGTGAAGAATCTTACAGTGCAAGCGGCAGCCTGTTTTTCTTAGAGGTACCTAAAATAATGGTGCATCTGCAATCAATGGCATCCTCAGTTCTATAATAATAATAATAGCCAATGGCATTACCGTAATGGTAACAGCTCAGAACGCTTTCTCTAAGCCACAGCTCCGAGCACCTTGTGTATATGTTAACTCACTCCAACCTCAAAACAATTCTATAAGGAAGGGACCATTATTACCATTTTACAGATGCTGAAACGATGGCACAGAGAAGTTAAGTAACTTGCCCAAGGTCACAGGCTAATGAATGGTGGAGGCAGGATTCCTAGGCTGGTGGCTCCTAGAGTCTGGGTCCTAACCCCCGCACCATACACCTGTGCAATGGGACCCAAGGCCTCCCGCGTCTCAGAGAAGCCTCCAGTCCTCCCCACCCCTCACCTCCACCACCCAGGGGCCGCCATTCCCTTCTTGGCCCGTCCATCCTCCAGTCCTGTACCTGATGCCGGGCAGGGAGGCTGCCTCCACGCTTGTGCCATGTGATCTGGGCATGGGTCTGCCCGGGCACCACGCAGTTCAGGTCCAGGGTCTGCCCTTCGGCCACATGGGAGGAAGATGACTCGATGCGGATGAGCTGGGAGCCACCAGGAGCTGGGGGAGACGATGGCCACTGGTCACTCTAGTTCTTTGAAGCTGCCTCCACCTATATCCCCTTTCTCCGTCCCAGCCCAGCCTGGTGGCCCCACTCACGGTAGGCGAAGTTGGCCCCCTGGGTCCCGGTTACTGTGACTGTGATGGAGGCCTCCACACCATTGCTGGCCCTGCAGACATACTCGCCCGCGTCAGCTGGGGAGGCCTGGAAGATGTACAGGCGGGAGCCGCGGACCTGGGCAGCCATGAGCAAAGGTGTGAGTAGGGGGCTTCCCGGATGCCTCCATCCATGCCCCTGCTGGGAACTGCCAGCCCTTCAGCTCAGGGGTTAGGACCCCCGCAACCCACCACCCGTAGCTTGGCCCTGGCTGGCCCCCTTGCACCTGCCTGCCACTTTGTACCTGGTGCCGGGCGGGGAGGCTGCCTCCACGCTTGTACCACGTGACCTGGGCGTGGGCCTGCCCTGCCACCACACAGTTCAGATCCAGGGTCTGCCCCTCAGCCACTGTGGGGGATGAGGACTCGATCCTGACAGGTGGGACGGGTCCTGGGGCTGTGGGGACAGGGTCAGGGGTGGCAGATGCTCCCCAGAAGAGAGGGCAAGAACTGTCCACCCTGGGGCCAGCTCAGCCTCGTCTTCTGAGGCCAGGCCCACATGTTCAGGGGTCTGGTGGCTTGCACTTGAGGTCCTCAGCTGAGCAACCCCAAGAGGAGGGCTGGGGCACAGGCCAAGCCTTGTGGAGGGGAGTGAGGAAGTGGGAGAGATGAGGGTAGTCAAGGCTGGCAGAGAGGAAGAGTGGGCAGGAGTAGAAACATGAGGGATGACGTGGCCAGAGAGAGGAGTGATGGGAAGACGGTGGGTTTCTCAGAGAAGTGGAGTCTGCCTGGGCTGGGACCTGTGCCCAGTTCCAATGTGGGACTCCTGGCAACACCCCGCCATAAGTAACAGAAGTCACGAGGACCTCAGACCGTGGAAGGCTCTCGGCCTCCTCCAGCTTGCCCTGTCACTGGCAGTCACTCACCAGGGATGGAGTCAGCGCTGGAGCCAGAGGCCTCGATGGAGACCAGGACGGAGGTCTCCAGGGGCCCAGAGCTAAGGATCACGCGGCACACGTACTCGCCCGAGTCAGCTGGGGACACTTGGTGCAGCCGCAGAAGCGAGCCGTGGGTCTGAGTGCAAACAGGGAGGGTTGGAAGGGGGCCGGAGTGGCCCTATCCAATCCCTCCAGCAGGCTGGCCCTGGGGGACTGCCATACCTGGTGTCGGGCAGGGAGGCTGCCTCCACGCCTGTACCACATGACCTGGGCGTGGGCCTGTCCGGGCACCACGCACTTCAGATCCAGCGTCTGCCCTTCAGCCACGTGGGAGGAGGAGGACTCGATGCGGATGGGCTGGGTGCTGCCCGGAGCTGGGGCTCCGCCAGGAGCTGGGGCACAGAGAGGCTGGTCAGGCCTTGGCTCCTGAGCCCCAGTTCTGCAGCCCTGGGGCAGAGGGCCCGGGGACATGACCAGGTCCTAGCTTGGGAGGGCAGATATGAGGCCTTCCTGGGGCGGGATCATGCTCTCCTGCCTCAGTATGGCCAGCCAGATCCCTCCTCCCCTTCCCCACTTCCAGCCTGGAGTTCAGGGCCCATTAGCCCACCCCTGACTGCTTGATATATTACGTGCTGCTCTGGCCTGCAGAGAACCAGAGAATTTTAGTGCCCAGGCTGGGCTGAAGGATGCAGACAATGATGCTATAGCTCCCTTTTCTAGAGTGTCTGCCATGTGCTCACACCACATGGTGGTAGTATTACCCCCCATTTCACATTTGAGGAAACTGAGGCCCCAAAAGGTAACATAACCAGTCCAAGGCTGATAAGGGGTAGGGCCAGGACTTGAACCCAGGTCAGCCTGACTCTCGACTCAGTGTTCAACACCGACTCTGCTGCTTCCTGATGAATTCTGAAAACAGTACCCTCATCCCGGGGCTCTAGACAACCCAGATCAACGTTATGGCCACCCCCAGTCCCCTCATCTCGCTAGTGAGGGAGTAGAGGGGCAAAGCCTGCCCAGAGTGCCCCCTTTTGTCCTGATGTCACCGAAGAGACCACGGGCACCTTCCCTGGGAACACTGGGGAGATCCCAGGACTCAGCCCCCAGCCGGCCCCACCTGGCTCCTCACCTGGGGTGTAGCTGGGGCCCGAATGGGTGCTGTGGAGGACAGAGATGATGATAGAGGCCTCCTTGGCGCCTGACTCGCTCTCCACTCGGCACACATATTCTCCAGAATCAGCTGGTGAGACCTCGGCGAGCCGCAGCCGGGAGCCATGGACCTGGACCGGGGTGGAGGGGACAGAGACATGTGAGGCAGGGAAGGGGGCTGAAGTCGCCACGCCCTCTGAGCCTCGGCGAGTCGTTTGAAGCTGAGGACGGAGGGAGATAAGGGCCGGCCCCCACTTATAGAGTCTGTGAAGCCTCCACCTGCACACGGGACCACCCCCAGGTCCCCTGCCGCAGGCTCAGGGACCCTCATACCTGGGCATGGGGAGGCAGGCTGCCTCCTCGCTTGTACCACGTGACCTGGCTGTAGGCCAGCCCTGCCACCACACAGCTGAGGTCCAGCGTCTGCCCTTCGGTCACAGAAGGCGATGAAGACTCGATCCTGACTGGCGGTGAGACGGCACCTGAGGCTGGGGGCAGAAGAGGAGTGAGGAGGCCTCAGGGATACCTGGCTTGCCCTCCCCACTCCTGCAGCCCCTGGAGGCCCCGAACCTGGAAGGACGACCACTTGGATCCGGGCCTGCGCTGTGCCCGCGGGGCTGGTGGCCACGCAGAGGTAGAAGCCGGCATCGGCAGTCGTGATGGCCGGGATGAGCAATGTGGCGATGTCTGTGCGCTCAGACCGGGCCTGTCACACAGCAAGAAGGGTCAGCTGCCCACGGGGGTCCAGGCAGCCTGGCAAGGGCTAGCCAGTGAGGGTGGGTGGGGGGTATAAAATATGGTGGCAGGCACAGAGCCAATATTAGGGCCCAGTTGGGTGCCAAGAAAGGTGGAGCCAGGCAGCAAAGCAAGAGGCCAACACTGCTCCCTGCCAGGGTGCCTCAAGCAGCATGTCTGAGCAGGCTGCCATCTTGAAAGGGAAGAGAAACAGAAGAGGAGGAGATGGAGGAGGGAGTGCGGTGGGCAGGCGGGTGGGGAGTGCAGGGACTCAGCTGAGCCTGAGGCCAGGCCCGGGCGGGTCTCCTCACCTGCGGGGGGAGGCTGCCCCCTTCCTTCCTCCAGGTGATGGTGGCGCTGGGCACACCTGCGGCCCTGCAGTACAGCCTGACGGTGCGGCCCTCGTGCACCTGGGTCCTCTCTGGGCTCACCTGAACCCTGGGCCTGTTGCCCCCTGCAGACAGAGCCCTGTGAGAACACCTTGCTGGGTGGCCATGCGCTCCCAGCCCCACCCTCAGCCCTGTCTCTCACCATGCACGTGGAGCACAGCCCTGGCCACCTGCTGCCCGGCGCTGCTGGAGGCGCGGCACAGGTACTGGCCCTGGTCTGAGGGCTCGATGGCCGGCAGGCGCAGGATGCCACCATGGATTTGTGCCTTCTGGGGGAGCTGGCCACTGGGGCCCCCTGACGTGGAGAAGTACGTCAGCACCCACCGGGACTGGCGTGGCCCGGGCCTCCCAGAGGTGGTAGACCCCACAGCCTAGAGTCCTGCCCCTGGCCTCCCACATCCCTCCAGGGAGAGCACACCCTGAATGTCAGTTCTGCCACGGCCTCACCTGTCCACTCGAGGGTGGGCGTGGGGCTCCCCGTGGCACTGCAGCGGAACTCAGCCACCTGCCCAGGCTGCACCGTGAGCTGCGGCGGGTGGATGGAGACCACAGGGGCGGACGGGGTGCCCGAAGCTGACACGGGAGGAGAAAGACCACGTGGTGAGGGTGGGGAGTATCTTCTGATCTGTGGCAACAGCCTCCTTGCTGCTCTTTGCTCCCATTCTGGCCTCTCATGGCCCTTTGCTCACAGAGCAGCCAGAGGGAGCTTTTAGAATGCCAATGGGATCTTGTTCTTTTCCACTTAAGGCCTGTCCATGGCTCCCTGTTGCTTTTAGAATAAAATCCAAACTCCCTGCTGGGATCTACTACATAGCTCTCACCTCTGCCCACATCTTCAAGTTCCTCACCCACCCTCCCTTCTGTAGCTCCAGCCATGCTGGCCTTGCCGGTCCTCAAATACGTCAACCTGCTCCTGCCTCAGGGCCTTTGCACATGCTGCTTCCTCTGCCAAGAACACTCTCCATCAGCTCTTTAAGTGGCTGAACACCTTCTCTTCTTTCAGGTCTCAGCTCAGATGTCACCTCCTCAGAGAGGCCCTCCCTGATCCCCCCATGTAGAATAGCTCAGCCTCCTCCCACCTCATCACCCTATTTATTCCTATCCCAGCTCTTGTCACTGGTGTAATTGTCTTCTTTGTTCATTTGTTCCCAGGCTTACTGTCTTCCCATTAGAACATGTGCTGCAGGAGGGCAGAGCCCACACTCATCCTTCTCTCTCCTGTTTCTTCAGAGTCTAGGCCAGGACCTGGCACACCATAGATGCTCAGAAACTGCCAGTTTCTAAAGAAGTGGTCGCTGGGCCTGGTGGGGGAGGTGAGGTGGGCAGGTCAGGTATGGAAAGGAAGGTGTACCTTGCACATGCAGCGTGGCTGTGCCCTGGTCCATGGCGAACATGTTGGAGCCGGTGCACACGTAGGTGCCCGCGTCACTCGGCTGTACGTTGCGAATGGTCAGGATGCCGTTGAAATCCATGGCTCGGGCCGGCAATTTCCCATTGTGCAGGCGGGTCCACACCAGGGTGTAAGCTGGAGACTGTAGGCGGGGCGAGGCGGATGGAGTCGGGGTCAGGGCTGGGGTTTGGAGACCCCAGAAGGCAGGTCCTCCCCGACGCCCTCCCCCTGTTCTGCCCACCTTGCTCTTGGCTGTGCAGATGAAGGTGACGTCGGCTCCGGGGTGCACACTCCGGCTGCGCTGCTCCTCCACTGTCACTGTGATGGGCTTGCTCGGAGCCTCTGTGGGGTAAGGAGGCCCCCAGTGAGCTGGATGCTGGCCAGGCCCCTGTCTTGTGGCCACCTTCTCTCTCTCCATGTCCTGTTTGGGTGTCACTTCCTTCCCAGTCTAGCTTAGATTCCATCCCACCCCCTGGTGCCTCCCTCCCTCATCGTGGCCAAAACCCCGCCGGCCACCTTGCTGCTGGCACCGAGCAGCTGGCAGGCTATGACTGCAGAGCATCCCACCATGAGTCTTGGCTCCAATTCACGATCACAGACCACAAATGAGCTCTTAACATTTCGCACTTCACTCCAACTGGGCTTCTCTGTCTGGTTTGGGTTTCTATCCTCCCAAACAACTATTTCACACCTCCCAATTTCTCCACCCTCTCGAGCCCTCCTTCCACTTTCACAGCTAATGGCTTCAACTCACACTTGTTGAGAAAATTGAAACTACTCGTCAGGACTTTTCCCATCTTCCCAAATCCACCCACCTCCCTCCTTCCCAGTCCCCAGAGGATTAGACATCTCCCCACCCAGCCCTGCCCCCACCTTCTGAGCACCGGGCCCTTCCCAAGGACTTCCTCCCTCGGCTGTGCCCACCCCGGCTACATCCGTCTCTCCTCTCCCTCTCCACGGGCTCAATGTGTTCTAGAATTTCCCATCTCTGAAAAAGCCCCTTGACTCCACACTACCCCCAGCTACTGACCCACTTCTTGGTCTCCCTTCAGAGCCAAGAATCTTCTCTTTTGTCAGGAAGATTGGCACTGAGCTAACATCTGTGTCAATCTTCCTCTATTTAATGTGGGACGCCACCCCAGCGTGGCTTGATGAGTGGCGCTAGGTCTGCGCCCGGGATCTGAACCTGCGAACCCTGGGCTGCCTGAAGTGGAGCGTGCGAAATTAACCACCATGCCACGGGGCAGGCCCCAGAGCCAAGACTCTTAAAACAGTTGTCTACACTTGCTGTCTATACTTGCTGCCTTCCTATCCATTCTCTGCCTTGCCCCAATCTGGTTTCTACCCCTTTTCTCTACTGAAAACTCTTGTCAAAGTCTGACCTCCTAGGGTTATTTCTCTGCCCGTATCTGACTTCCCTGGGGCATCTGGTGAGGCCCACCATCGTCTCCCTTCCCCTCTTGACTTCCAACATGCCACCTCCCTGGTCTCCTCTTATCTCACTGGCTGCGTCCACTCAGTCTCTTTTGCTGTCCTCTCTCTTCAACATGACATGTTCAAGTTGGAGCTCCCTGGGGCTCTGTCCTGGAGCCACACTCTCCCTGGGTAACCTCCTCCTGCCCATGGCTTTAAACACCTTCCCTATGCCAACAGCTCCCCAATTCATTTCTCCGGCAGGGCCTCTTTCCTGAGTTCCAGACTCACATATCCAAATGCCTGCCTGACAGACCTACTTAGATGTTGCCCCAGACATCTCAAACTTCAACAAGTCCAAAACCAAACTTGTGATTCCCTCTGACCTGTTTGTTGCAGGTGCTGCTGTTGCCCCGCCCAGGTCCCCTCGCCCTGTCACTGCAGAGCCCCCTCTGCTTAACTTCTGCCAGCCACTGCACAAGGGCATTCTCCAGCCACTGGAGACCATTGTGCCTGCCCATGAGGTGGGACAGAATGCAAGGGAATTGATGCTCCTGGGACAGGCTTCGATCAATGGCTGGAGGAGCTGTGCACACACCCAAGCTCCCTTGACCCTGGGGTGGGGCAACGCCAAGATGCACACTTTACGCCTTCCTCAGCTGCACTGAACAACTGCTCACAGTGGGAACTCGCTTGATAACACACCCTTTATAGGATGCCTTCTCTTTCCTGTCTCCATGGGTACCTTGATGTTGCTGCTGGGTGCTGCTGGGCAAGGGCTGCCCATCCATCACCTCTCAAATGAACTACTTACACGTAAATCCTTATCTCGGACTCTGCTTTGGGGACCCCAAATGAAGACACCCTCCTACCGAGGCTCTCTCATCTCAGTAAATGGCACTCCATTTGTCCTACTGCTGGAATCCAGACCCCTGGGCATCATCCTCTCCCTCAGTGGCCACAGTCGAGTCCTGCCAATTCTGCCTCTAAATCCAGTCTTCACCATCACCTCTCTCCATCTCCACAGCCGGTGCCCTCGTCCAGGCAACCACCACCCGCTCCGCTGGATGAATGCGCCAGCTGCCTGCATCTGAGTCTGCAGCCCAGCCCAGCACAGGCAGTCTGGGGGATAGGGGAAGTAGGGACTCACCAGTGACCAGCAGCTCTGCCCGGCTGCTATTGGCATGATGGAGATTACGACAGGTGCAAATGTAGACTCCAGCATCTGAGGGCTGGACGCTGGGGAAGTGGAGCTCGGAGCCTGGCAGGGAGAGGAAGGGCGCTCGTCAGTGCAGACACACCCCTTCTCCCACCCAGCCCTGCATGCAAGGACAGGCCCCCAGTAGGGCAGGGACAGGCCTGTGCCTCCCCACTCACTGGGCTGGCTCACAGGGCTGAGGGGCCTGGGGCCATGGTACCTTGATGTCGCTGCTGGGTGCTGCTGGGCACGGGACGCCCGTCCTCACGAGACCAGTAGAAGTAGTGGGGTGGGCTCCCACTGACCTGGCACCGCAAGGAGTAGGGGCCACCTTGGGGCACTATGCTCCGAGCCGGATGCACCTGGACCACCAGCGGGGCTTGGTCTGCTGTAGGCAGGACAGGAGAGGCCATTCAGGCAGGAGGCCCCCAGCATGCGGCAGTGCCTCAGATATCTCGGCCCTCCCAAGGATTGGCATGCCCTGCCTTTGGCCCTGTCCCCCAGACCTACTAGTATCTTTCAAATTCCCTAGGCTCCCTGTCTTGCCCATCACCCCAACCTGGGGCCAAGGTCCTACTTACTCTGTGGCAGGCACCGGCCCCCCCGCACATTGGGGTTACCCACATAACCTGGGGCACACCTGTAAGGAGGAACAAGAACGAGCTTTGTCAGGCCCCAGCGGACCCAGTGCCCCAGAGTGGACTTGGGGAACCAGAAGCCCAGCTAGCTGCCCAGTGTTGGGCCAGGCGGCTCAGAGCTCTGGAAGGACTTCAGAGACCAAAGAGGCCCCAACACAGGGCCTCAGTGAGCTGAGAAAAGGGGAGTGTAAGGGAATGTCAGCAGGTTGGATAACAGTGGTGGTAAGGCCTTTATTCTCCAGGAAATTCATTCAACAAACGTTTACCAAGCAACTACTCTGCTAAGTTATGGAAAGACAACAGTGAACATGATGAAGTCCCTGCTCTTATGGAAGTCACCAACATGAGAAACCAACAAGGAAATGAAGTCAGTGAGAGTGAGGAGCATGTGGGGCTGTGAGGGCACGGGAAGGGGGCACTCATCCAGCCCCAAGAATCAGCAGGCTTCCCGGAGGATGGGACTGCTGAGCTGTTACGTTTCCTAGGAGTAGACTGCACTCTTCAGAGAACGTATCACTGTTTGTAATTATCTGTTTGTATGATTACTTGCTGTCCTGTCTCCCTTTACACGTGGTAGGCTCCATAGGGGCAGGGACTGAATTTGTTTTGTTCACCACTTTATCTCCAACACCTTGGCACACTGCATGGCACACGGTAAACACTCAATAAAAATGTGCTGAATGGGTGAATGAAGCTGAACGTTGAAGGCTAAACAGGAGTTAGCCAGGAAGGAGTGGTTTGAGGGTGAAGAATGTTCCACGTAGAGGTGACAGCACATGGAAAGGCCTGAACATCAAGAAGTCAGGAAGCTAAGCTCAGCTAGAGTAAGAGTTGGGTGTCAGAAGTGGGATGAGACTGAAGTGTGATAAGGCTACCTAAAGGAGCCTGGGCTTGTCCCAAGGGCAATGATGAATCTTGACAGGGTTCTGGGCAGGGGAGGGATCTAATCCTGTTAGACACCTCTCTGAGCAACACCATCCAGGGCTCTCACCTAGGAGTCTACCATATGTACCCCCCCCACCCTTCACCCCTCCTATTTGCAAACTTACTGCTCACAGTACTGGCCAGTGTACCCAGGTTCACAGGCCGTGCAGCGGTACCCACCAGCTCCCAGGCTCTCACAGGTGCGGGAGAACCTGGCATAGGGGAGGCAATGGTCAGGCCATGGGATGCCCACTCCCCACCTTGCTCCTTCCACTTCTGCCCCCAAATCCAGTGCGGTGCCCTCCACTCCCTGGTGGGAAATCCTCCTTGGCCCTTGAGCAAGGGCACCCACATGTTCTCCGGGTTGGTCAGTGGGCAGGCACAGGGCTGGCAGTCCTCAGGTGTCCCAGCTGTGGCGTCTCCATAGAAGCCAGGAGCACACAGCTCGCAGAACTCCCCAGCGGCATTGTGTTGGCATTGCTGTGAGGCACAAGGGTGTCAGCCACTCACCATTTGGCACAATTTACCAAAGACTGTACAATTTTGTAATCCCTTGATCTGGATATTCCACGTTTGTGAGCTTATCTTAAAGAAATAGTTGTGGAGAGGCACAAAGATTGCACTACAAGATGGTCAGCTCAGTGGTGTTTATAAAAGCAAAATGCTGGAAACAAACCATGAATAGGGAACTGGATAAAATAAAAAGAATATTCACCCAAATAGCTATCAAAAAGGATGATGTTGATTGCATTTCTTACATTTTTCTACCTAAACTCTCATAATATCAGAGGGAAGTAAAGGTGTACACTTGGGTAGGTGGGGACAGAGCTTTGAAAGTACGTGCTTCATCATTGCAACACGTGGGGCTTTATATCCTCCTTCAGAGAGAGCCACGTTTGTCTTATTGACACAGCGCGTTCCTTGCTCCATGTTTAGCTTGTGGCCCTCAACCACCCAGCCCCCGAACACATAGCCTGGAGGGCTGTACACACGTCACTCCGAAAAGTCCAGGTATAGAAAAGTACTTAACGATATGGAAAGATGCTCACGAACTTGTAAGTGAAAAAGGTGACCATCAAACACAATGATCTTATGTTTATGTGTAAAACAAAAGGCATCTCAACATGCGTAAATACTGGTCCAGAAAAAGACAAAAAGAGCTCCACACTCTAGTGTGGACGGTGATTACCTGCAGGTGGGAGGATGGCAGGGAATTTTTGTTTTCTTTTTGGGTTATCTCTGTAGTCTGATTGTTCTACAGAGAATAGCTGTCATTTTGGTGATACGAAATAGCAGGAAGCAAAGTTTTCTTTATAAAGAAGGATGTTATTCCACAGTTCTGGCCATCCCACTAGGCCTGCAGCTTCTCAGTGACCAGATCTGCTGGTCCAGGTGCTTTGTCCCACAGGCCATGCCCCATGACCTTGTCCCTGGACCTAGACTTACCTTACCAAGCCCACCCCTTCCTATCCCAGAACCAGCCCCAGGACCTCACCCAGGCCCAGCGAAGCTGACCCCTCCCATGGCTCTGCTTGCATCTTACCGAGCAGGCCCCGGTCTCTGGGTGGCACACATCCGAGTGGCCATTGCATTCGCACAACTCGCAGTGGCCGAGGTACAGCCCACTCCCAGTGCGCGTGTAGCCCGGGGCACAGTCCTGCAGGGAGGAGGGGAGGGTTGGTTTCTACCTCCAGTGTGGTCCCATCCAGAGCCAGCAGACCCAGATCCCTTTCCTTCCAACCCCCCTCCACCACCCAGACTCCGCAGTGGCCCCGGGAGGCGAAATTCCAGGCCCAGCAGTGCACCCCAGCATCTTCTCAGTGGCCTTCCCCTCCGGCTTCACCTTCACCTCTTGACACTCCAGAGCTGGGACAGAGTCCGCCCCCATCCTGCCTGACATCTCCAGCTACTCTGAATTTACCGAAATAATAGCTCATCCTAATGGAGAACCCTTCTCCATCCCCAGGACTTTGTTCCTGAAAATTCTTCTGGCAGAATCTGTATTGAAAAACTTAACCCCTAGATGGAAAAAGAGGGTCAAGAGAACTAGACTCTTGGAAGGAGCCCTTGAAGATCTTTACAACGATGTTCACATTCACTCAATAAAGCAAAAGAGGCACACACACACAGCCAAGGATGCTTTCACACACTCTACGAGAATCACGGGTTCTGAAAACAACGAATTTTTACTCCTTAGCCCTTCTTTGAAACCTCTCCAGGCCCTCCTTCCCAATCATTTCAAAGAGATGTATATAAACGTTTTGCTTCACTGTAGCAAACGTGCATCAAGAATTCTGCTTTCCCCAGGGGTTCTCTTTCAAAATGTGTTCAATTTTATGACTTCGTGGAATGTGAAGTTCATATATTTGGATTTGAAAGTTCTGTGGCCACAGCAAAGGTGCACAGTAGGAAAACTGCAGACAGGAGGATTCCCACTGGGGACTTCCCAAGTCGGGGGGCGGGGGCGCTGGCTGTTCTAATACTTGATCTTGATGCCACCCATCTGGCATTGCAGCCCTGCCCCCTCCCCTCCTGGGGTCTCCCTTCCCCAGTTCCACATTCAGTCATCACATGACCACTGGTCGCCTGCCGTGTGCCTGGGGATTTGGTGGTGACAGTGAGCTCAGGCCCGGCCTTCCTGGAGTTCAGTCTCCAGCCAAACCCTGCAGATACTCTCAGATTCTCTTCAACTGACAGCCGTCTGTTCCACCCCCACTGCTCCTCCCTCCAAATAGGATGCCCTGTCTCTCCCTCTGCCAGATCCATCTCATTCACCACCGCACAGGAATTTTCCTGGGGCCCAGATCACAGCTCTCCCTTAGCAGCTTGGCATTCTCTACTGAATGGAGCTTGTTCCAGATCTAAGGAAGCGGACCCCCCACCCCCAGCCTTCCAGAAGTGACCTTTCTGCATTGCAGGCTATTTCCCCACACGGTCTTCCTTCTGAGTTCTGCTTATTCTTCTCATCTGCCTAGAACCCTACCCTGCTCCACACAGTTCACCTCTCTGAGGCATTTTCACGCTCTGCTTTGGGCTAATTTGCGTTCTGTATTGTCTCCCTTACTCTGAGAGCATGAGTGGGCCTTAAACTCCAGAGAGTGGAGCTGTGTGCCCTTGGGTAAGTCACTCACCCTTCAGCACCTCTATTTTAAAAAAATCTGTTAAAAGGGGATAATTACCCATCTCTCAGGGTTGTTGGGAGGAATGAATGAGAGAATGCAGAGCACACGGAAGTTATGACAGTAGTCACAGGCCATGGAGATGCCAGCTGACCAGCGTGCTGATCCAGCTTTGCCAGATCAGAGGTGTCTGGCCGACTGCGCTCACCTGGCAGGAAGACCCGACGTAGGCCGGGGGGCAGCGGCACTCCTCTACCTCCAGGGCCCGGGGTCCCTCCGAGGGCCCGGGCTGGGCGACCTCTAGGCTGACTGCGCTGATGCTGGCCGCCTGCGGCATCGAGGAGAATGTGGCCCGGACTAGGAGCTCGTCCAGGTCAGCCAGCGCCATCAGGAGGTGCTCGCGTGTGGCCGGCTGCCCGTCAGGCCGGCGCCAGAATTCCTGATCGAGGGGGTGACAGCCAGCGTGGGTGAGGGGTGCTGGGCTTCGGGCATTGCTCCTGCAGCCCCCGCCCAGCCCTCGCCTTCAGGCACTGGCCCAGGACTGTGCAGTGGGGTCGGGGAGTGAGAGGCAGGTGGGTGGACGTCCGAGCCAGGATCCGAAGCAGCGGGGAGGGGAGGAGGGTCAGACGCAGTGTGGCCAAGTGCCCCTCACCTCTCGGAAAATGATCTCATAGCTCTTCCTCTCCGGGCCTTGTAGCACTGGCTGGGAGGCCACCAGCATGATGTTGTTGCCCTGGGGAGACACCAGCGGGATTGGGAGGTGAACTGGGGGGCTCTCGGGGACAGTGGGGTCCACCCCAGTCCCAGCCTCTCCGTAACACCAGCCTCCCATTTCTCCAATCTCTCAAGCTCGTGTGCCCTAAGGAATCAGGTACATGCCCACTGCCCTGTTCTCCCAGCAGCTGGGCCTCTGCCTCGGTAGTGTCCAACCAGGCAGGGCAGGGGGGACAGGGGACAGGGCTTAACCCCCTTAGGCTGTGCCAGGCCAGCCAAGTGCTGGACAGAAAGGAAGGAAACACTGACAGTGGCCCCTGGCTTCCCCCTCCTGGTTCTGCCCTCCCGGTGTGGGGTCCACGTGCTCACCGTGATCTGGACGTCGGGGTCAGAGAGCGGGCTGCCCTGTGCACCTGCGGTGTAGGACAGGGTGTAGCGCAGCTTCCCGCCATAAGCAGCCACCTGCAGAGGCAAGCCCTGTGGTCACAGCCTGACTCTGCCCTCCTCCCCGGGGGGTGCACGACCACACAGGTGATGGGGCGGAGGCTCTCAAGGCCTTTCTGCACTTGTCCTGTCACCCCAGCCCCCACCAGAGGCCTGGGGCTGCCTAGGAGACAGGACATCTCTCAGTTCCTTCACTGTCTCAGACCTGGTGGCGGTGTCCCGGTGCAGCCTGTTTTCTGTTTTATGGGGTTCCCCATTTCCCATTGCCTGACAGTCCCAGCAAATAAGCTCCAAGTCCCTTTCCGCCTGAAGGAATTTCCCATGAAGCAGACAAGTATTGACAGTGACCACCATGCAGAGGCCGCAGAAGTTTCAAAAGTTCTCAGCCATGGGGGTAGGGCTGAGGGTGGCCCCTCAGAGGTTTTGCCTCCTGGGCTGGCGGTTTTTGTTTGCTCCAAATCCCTTTTCCCCTTTTTTGCAAACTGCAGCCCTGGTTTCCTCTAGAGGAGACTATGTCACACATGCAGGCCATGTGGTTTGAGGGCCGCCCCCTCCTGCTCTACACGAGACACATGCCAGCTGTCAGGCCAATCAGCATATTCCTCCACTTCCCCTCTCGGCTCCCTCAGGGATGGACATGGGAACCTGGCACTTCTGTTCTTTCTACTGGAATAGAGAAACTCCCTTTCCTAGTCAGATTGGAAGCTGGAGGATGATGCCAACTGAGACCCCGGATCCAGCCATGCCTGATACCAGGTATCCTTGGACTTTGTAGTTACATGAGCCAATAGATTCTTTGTTGCAGACAGGCCAGCTGGACTTGGGTTTTCTATTGCTCACAACTGGAAGAATCCTCACACTTGCCACAGGGGGCTTTCAAGTGGGCAGCTAAGACCCAGCTCTGCCCTATAGGACTTTCCCTTCCCTCCTTTGCCACCAGGGCAGATGTTCAGATCAGTATCACACTGCGCCAGGCCTAGCTCATTTGTTCATCTTTGTGTTCATTCAGTTGGTAAGCATTTATTAAACACCTACTGACAACATGCCAGGCTCTGGGCTACCTGGGCCCTGAGAATGTTCTCCACAAGCTCCGGGCGAGGTAAGGATTCAGGGGTATAACCAGATAACCACAAAACAACTGGTGTCCTGTTTGCTTCAGATGCCAGCAAGTTTACCGCCTCGCCCAGGATCAAGCTGCAGGCATGTGCAGCTGGGCAGCTAAGGGAGCAGACTCTGTAATCTGAGGCCGGGGTTCAAGTGCAGCTCTACTGGCTGGATAGCCTTGGACAAGTCACTTAACCTCTCTGAGCTCTACGTTCCTCATATGGAAATGGGAGTAAAAATAATACCTACCCTGAAGGATAGCGTGAGGATTCAGTAACAGGCCACGTACAGGCCTGTGCCTGCCGAGCGCACGGCCTCAACATTCACTAGCTCCTCCTCATGCCCAGTTCCACCCTTGGCCTCAGCAGATCTTTCTCGTCCTTAACTCCCCCTGGACAGGACTGTCTGGTCTGCTTCTCTGTATGTTATTTCATACATATTCTATGTATTCTTAAGAGGCACTCAATGGTTTTTTGAACAAGGTGGAGGCGATGTCAATACTAACACTAACGCCAATGCTAACAATAATAGTAATGACGACGATGATGCTGACGATGGTAGGAATGACAAGCACACTAACAGTGAGCTCTGGGAAGCCAGGGTCTTCTGCCCGGACGCAATACGGCACACAGTGAGTCCTTAAATAATGCTTCTTGAATGAATGAATGCAGTGCCAAGAGCTAGGTCAGTGATCTGGTACAGGGTAGAGAGGGCCTAAAGGAGGCGTGGTTTACCTCTCAGGGAAGACAGCCTTTCTGCCAGCGGCCCGTGGCCTGCTGAAGTTGGTAAGAGCTGAGCCGGGTTCAATCTCAGCCCTACTGTGATCTGAACGCGGGACCCCAGGCAAGGGTGTTGCCCTCTCTGGGCCTTGGTCTACCCATTTGTATGGTACAGGGCCCTCTGATATTTTAGGATTTGATGATGACCCAGTTAACCCCCAACTCCTTGTTACCTTGTTCCCCAGGAAGGCCTGGGGCAGCTGCCAGTAATAGAGGCTTTCAGGAAGCAGAGAGAAGGCTCCGTAGGAGAGAGACAACTAGGACAGAAGGACAGGCCGTGCGAGCTGAGGGAGCAGGCAGGGGCCAGGAGGACAGAGATGGTGCTGACGGGGCTGGGCCCGGGCCCTGGAGGGGACCCAAGAGGCCAGAGGGACGGAAACCCCCACCCCACGGCTCGGGTCCTGGCCCTGATCTTTGGACAACGTGCTCCCCGTGTCTGGACCCGGACACCCCAACCGCTCTCACTCGGTCCAGTTAGGGTCGGTGTCTCCTCACATCTGGTGTGTGCCTCTTGGGGACCCCAAGATGATTTATGGGGCACAGCAGAAAACATTTTTAAATTTAGCGGCTATATTAACGTCTATTTAAAAATGTACAACTGCCATAATTGAATTGGTATAAGATTGACTTAAAGGGGAACCTAAAGTAAATAAGAGCCCAGGTAGTGTGCAGAAACAAGAGTTCGTGAGGTTGGTGCAGAAACAACTGAGGTCTAGAAAACACGCTAGGTGGGGGTCCCTCAGTGGGTGCCGTGGCACATACCTGAGAGCCTGCTGAGGAGGACAGAGAAGCTGAGGAGGAGGAGGTGGAAGAGGAGGAGGAGGAGGAGGAGGAGGAGGGGGAGGAGGGGAAAGGCAGAGATGCTCGCAGAGCAGCTGCAGGCTGGGGATGGGGCGAGAGCCCCTGGGGAGGCGGGTGGGGGTGGGCAGCAAAGCTGGAAAGGAGCTGCCAGATTTCGGCATCCATCCGCCTCTGGGCCTCATCCACCTGGGGGGCCAGGAGAGGGAGGACAGAGGGAAGGAGCAGAGAGACAGAAAGGATGCCGTGAGGCTTCGCCTTGGTCCGGGACGCGTCAGGCCCAGCCCGCCACCCACTTCCGCGCTCTCTGTTCTTGGTGCCAATACCTGCCGCTCTGGCCCTTGTATCTGCTGCCCTCTTGCTCCTCATGAGCCTGGTGGGGCTATCCTGGGATGGGTCCGGCTGACTACGGGCCCTGACTATGGGGAGAAGCCCCATACAGAGGGTGCCCCCTGGCAAGAGAGGGGCACAGGGCTCTGTCCAGCTCAGGCTTGAGAGTCTAGAGGCAGCCCCAGGGGCAGGCATTTGTGGCAGGGGGGCGCTGCTCCTTGGGCCTCACTCTCCACGTGTGCCCGTGGTGCCATTCAGGGATCTGGAACGTCTCCTGAGGGCAACACTGGAATGGACAGGCCATCAGGCTGGGGCCAGGCCTGGCATGGGTGAAAATGGCCCAGGAAGGCCAGGGCCTCCGCTCAAGGCTCCTGCTTGAACTATGCTCTCTGGTCTCCTCCTTGGGGCCCCAGATATGCCTGCGCTGGCCAGGCCCTGAGTTACCTGTGACAGCCGCGGTGCCCGGCCCCTGCCTTCTGGGGGCCCGCGGATGCTCCCAGCTGTCACAGCTGTCCGCAACTGCTCCTCTGAGAGGGATGTGCGGTTCTGAAGGGCGGAGGGCACAGGCCAGCTCAGACCTCCCAGGGCCCCCGAGCTGGGGTGTCCTCTCCCCATGGATATGGTGGCCAGAAAGGCCTACACCAACTGGGGAGAAAGACGCACACTCCCCTCTCTAGGCTGGCACACAGGGGTTGACTCCAGGCCACTGGAGGGGCATCCACATGGAGGGTTAACAGAGGCTGCATGGGAGGCAGCGCGAGGCTGACCTGGGGGGCCAGGCTGTCATGCGGTTTAGCATCGAGTTAGTGTCCACCCTGGCCACCACTCTGGCCACAGACGGTTACAGCAGGACCAGACCACGCGGCATATGAGGCACATACCCCTCCTGGCTCTAACTCCTGGCATCGCAGGGCTTGGGCACAGCAGTGCCTTGTCCGTGGGGCCAACAGGCACTACCTGGGTTCATGCAGACCCATATTGCCTTGGGTATTGGGCATCTCCCTATGCGGGGCTGAGGGCATCGAAGACCACACCATGCCCATGTCACAACGACTTCACACCACTCAGATCACAGGCCTACCTGGTGAGCCCGGCGCATCCGTGCAAAATATGCCTCCCTCTGTGGGATGCAGGGAGACGCCAGGAGAGGAGTCAGAGAGAGAGAGGTCTGAGGACCACAGGACAGGGCAGAAGGGTGGCAGACAGGGAGGCCAGGAGAGGAGGAACCCGAGAAGGGACTAGAAGGCGGCCAGCCCTGGGAGGAGGCTGGGATATTTGGGTCTGTCCAGGGAACAGGGACAGGGCAGCCTTGGAACCCCCCTCCAAAGTGTCCCTGACCTCCCTGGGGCCCTAGACATGGGGAAACACCTGCTTGAGCACCAGCTTCAGCCAGCAGGGGACTCCTGTACCAAGATGCACTTTCCCTGGATACCACCAGGTGGCCCTGACTGCCCGAGGAACACGGCGGGGCAGGCTGCCTCGGATCCACCCCTAAGACCCTGCGCCCCACAGCATCGCCTTCATCATCACCTCCCCACTGGACCACGACTCTGGAGTAGCAAGACACGTTCATCTCTGACTAGTGTCACACGGAAGGCGGGCTCTGCCCTGGGTTTGGATTCCAGCATGGCCACCTCCCTGCTCGGGCAGGTCACCTAGTCTCTCTCACCTCAGTGGAAAGGGGGCGGTAGCAGTACTTGGCTCCTAGAGCTGTGACTTATGACATGTAAACGTACTTGGAGCAGCACCCAGCACAGAGTGAGGGCTCAATAAGTAGGACCTACAACAAGACTTGTTATTATGCCCAACACCAAGCACAGAGCCAGCAGCACAGATGAGTGAATTCTGAGTGAGCAGATGAATGAAACTGAAACTGTCTCATTTGTCCCTTGTGTTTCGAGGGCCTCCCCCAGGACCTGTTTGTGGACTGACTGCATGAAAGCCCACAATTGTTAACAGGTGAGCACTTATGTGCCAGGCACGATCTCTAATCCTCCCAGCTACCCTGGAGCTGAGGTTTATCAAAAGGCAGCCAGCTGGTAAGTGGCAGAGCTGGGTTTAGACCAAGGCCTATCTGACCCCAGAGGCCGCACACTTAACCATGACGTGGCCAGCGCCTGCCTGCAGCCCAGACTGCTCTGAGGTCACCTCGTATCTGAGTCTCTGCCGGCCCCAGGGCTCAGCAGGGCCTGGCACAGAGCTGGCGATAGGGGAGGGCCTGCCAGCCCCCGCCGCGTGGCACACCTTGTCTCCCTGGTACGCCTCTGGCAGCTGCCAGTAGAAGGACTCGCGGCCAAGCTGGGCGAAGTTGCCAAAAGAGAGCTGGGCACCCTCGGGCACGGGTTCCACGGTGAAGCCTCCCGTCAGGCGGCTGTTCCGCTGTGGGTTCACCAGGGCGAAGCCTTGGAAGTCCCCAGGGGCAAAGCGGGTGGAGATCTGGCAGCAGAGGGAGGATGGGGTGTCAGCCTGGGCACTGGGGCATTCACCTCGGTACGGGAGGGCATTGGGGTGGGTCATGGGGGATTGCTGAGATCAGAGCTGGGACAGAAATAATGGGGGATGGGAAGGACATTTTGCGGGGGATGGGCTCAGTGCTGACATAAGGGATAATGGGGTTGTGGGAGGGTATTAGGGTAGGGGTGAGGGTTGCTAGGATCTGCGCTTACATGGGCAATAATGGGGGCATGAGGATGGGTGTCCTCATAGACACTGGGGAAGCCACTGGGCCAGGCTTCTGACTTGCCCCGAGGATGACCCAGGGAGATGCGGGTGGCAGGCCCGGGGCTGGGGCAGCATAGGGGCTCTTACCAGGTGGCGGGTGTAGGTGGAGCTGGCACACTGCTGGGTGACACCCATGCAGAAGCAGGGCAGGCAGCCCTCGGGGTTCCTGGCACTCAGGTGGAAGTGGTGGGGCCGGCAGTGGCTGCAAGTGAGGCCCTCCACCTGGGCCTGGGAAGGCAGATGGGTGGGTGGGTGTGGGGAGCTCGCGTGGGTCTCTTGCACCTCCAGCAGCCTTTGAGGCCAGCCTTCCCAGCCGCTTCTGGAAGTTCTGGGGAGGCCCTGTTGCCCCCAGGCCTAGACCCCAGCTCCTGTTGCATGCTGCCTGATTTCTCACCAGGCTCCGAGCGGTAGGGGCAGAGATGGGCCCCCTGGGGAAGGGAGGTGGGGGCGCAGGGACAACCCCATAGGTACCGTGAGAGGGAGGCCTGGCAACCGCTGTGGCTGCGGTTCAGGGCCTCGTGGAGGGCAGGGGTTTGGACTGACCTTGCACTGGCATTGGCCGGCAGCGTCACACTGGTTGCTGATGCTGCCCTGGGGGTCACAGCCACAGCCGATCGGCTCTGGCATTTGGCCATCTCCTGAAGTAGAGGGAAGCCACAGGTGGCACCCCGAACCCGCCACCAAGCACCCCCATTTCCACCACCCTCTGGGCATCTAACTCAAGGGAGGGAGTGTTTATTTCTGAACGCCTACCACATGTCGGCTTTAAACCCTTCACGGCAGCCCTCTGCAGGGGGTGGGCCTTTACCATCCCATTTTACAGATAAAGAAGCTGAGGCTCAGAGAGGTAAAGCTACTTGTCCCGGGTCAGAGAGAACAAAGGCTCTGTCCCAGCTCCACCCCTGGGGAAGACTGGGTAGCCCAGCCCCAAAGGCTTCCCCAACCCTACTCACTTCGGCATGGCTGGCCCTGGCTGGGGTTGCCATAGTAACCTGGGGCACACCTAGGGAGAGAGAAGGCAGTGGATGAGCGGAAGGCAGAACCACAGAACCCCGGAGAGCCTGCTGCGAGCCCAGGGCTGTGCTGGGGGCCCTGTACTGGTCTCAGCGACCTCACACTGCTGGAAGGAACCCATGAGCCTAACTCACCCGTTTTACAGATGGGGAAACACGTGAGAGGAGAGGAGCACGGACTGCCCTAGGCCAGGGAGTTAGAAAGACCAGGCCTCAAACCTAGGACCTTCAGCAAGAATAAGGGGTTTTCTGAAGACCCTGGCGAGTGGGGGCCGGGGATGCTGGCAGTTGGCAGCGAATTGCAGGCCTAGATCTCTGAGGACCTCGAATGCCACCAAAGATTTAGGCTCTCAGGGAGGGGAGTTGACTGTCTTTAGGGGGCTGTGTAAGGGGAGAGTGGGAGGCTTCCGGCGCCTCCTGGTCAGGAGGGCTGGGCCCAGCCTGACTCCAGGAGTCGCCCCTCCCGCATGCTCCCTACCCAGCCCGCCTCACCTCTCACAGTGACGCCCGCTGTGGCCTGGGGAGCACGCGTCACAGGTGGCGTGGCCGTCCGTGTCCAGAAAGCACGTGTGGGTGGCCCTGAGAGTGCGGGGGGCAAATTTCCAGTGAGAAGGGCAGCAGCTCTTCCTTCAGGCCCAGGGGAGAGGGGAGGGGAGGGATGGGCGTGTGAACTAGTGGGTTCTGAGTGCCAGCTATGTGCCAGGAAGGTGATGAGGGTTCCTGTGCACATCTCATTCAAGGTTCACACCCGGGCCAAGGTGGGGGACAACGTTAGCACCATTTCACAGATGGGGACATTGAGGCCTAGAGCAGGAAGCGAATCTTGTACAGAGCGAGACAGTGCAGAAGTGGCAAGGCCAGGACTTAACCACTGCCCCTCAGAACGGCCTGGGAGGAAGGGAGTCTGGGAGAGGGTGGTGGCTATTCAGGAAAGGGCAGGTACAGGCAGGGGCTGGACGCACTGGCCAGCAGCAGGGGCTCCATGGCATGGGCATGGCTGGCAGTCCTCTGGCGTCCCCCGCTGGGCGTCCCCATAGTACCCCGGCTGGCACTGCTCACACCGAGGGCCCTCCGTGTGGTGCTGGCAGCCCTGCAGGGGCAGAGTGTGGGTTGAGGCTGGGCCCCTAGAGGCCACAGATCCCCGGGGTAGGAAGGAAGGGGGGTGGGACTCACCTGGCAGGCACCCGTTTCGGGCTCACACACCTCCGTGTGGCCATGGCAGCTGCAGCGTTCACAGGTGCCCAGGTAGAGGCCGCTGGGTGTGCGTGTGTAGCCTGTGTCACAGTCCTGGGGGCAGGAAGATGGCAGTGGAAGGGTCTTCTTCAGCAGGGCCCATTCAGGGCAGGGACCACTGGGTGGCGGGGCTGGGGTGGGCCTGGGGAGGGGGGGACAGCTAAAGGAGGACGGGCCAGGGAGTGCCAGGGAGGGAGCTGGCTGAACAGGTGGGTGGGGCCCAGGGCTCACCTGGCAGGATGGGCCACGGTACCCAGGTGGGCAGGTACACTGCTCTACTTCCAGCGCAGGGTCCTGGCCGGTGTCCTCAGGCACGGCCACATCCATGCTGATACCAGAGATCCTGGGTGTGACAAGACCCACTACGAATGAGCACTTGCTCTGTGCCAGGCACCCCTGGAGTCTGACACGTGGTTATCTCACTAATCCTCCCAACAGTCCAGCTCCCCAGCTGGGTGTCCCTCCCTCAGCTGCTGCCAATGGCTTATACCTGCAACTTTCTCCAGGGAATGAGCCTTCCTTGCCTGGAGGGATCAGACCACCCTACTCTCCTGGGGTGACCAATGGCAGACTGACCCAGGGTACAGAAGCCCCTTGACCTCAAAGCAGGACAACTCTGCAGAGCTCCACAGGGATGAGGCCGGGCTCGTCTTGACCTGAAACCACTTGCCTGCGAGGCTCCTGCATCCTTCCCTCCATCCCTCCTCCCCAGGTTCTCCCTGGGTATCATGAGCACCCCAATCCCCGTCTCAGACTATAGGAGCCGGACCTAAGAGAAGCCCTGTGAGGGAGGTGCTGTCACAATCTCCATTTTACAGATGGAGAAAATGAGGCACAAAGAGGCTGCACAGCCTGCCAGTGGTAGAGCTGGCAGCCCAGGTCCACATCACACAGCTCAGACTGGAGCTGCCTCCTCAGGCCCCCTTCTTCCCTCCTGCCCCGGCCCCGGACACCTGCTCTCAGCTGGCCGCTGGGTATAGGATGCCTGGATCAGGAGGGTGTCGAGGCCCGCCAGAGCCATCAGCAGGTGCTCCCGCGTGGCCGGCTGTCCGTCAGGCCGCTGCCATGCTTGCTGCCAAGGAAAGGACACATGTGCTGCAGCCTCCGACATCCTGGGATATTGACACCCCTGTGTGAGAGGAGCAGAGGCCTGTCCCCTCCCCGCAGGAGGCTCCTGGCACAGTGTTGCTCACCTCCCGGAAGGGCACGGTGAAGGTGCTGGGCTGGCCGGGGCTAGGCTCCCGGGAGACGTGATGCTCCAAGACAATGCCATTGCCCTGCAGAACCACCAATGGCTGCCTGTGCAGGGGCGTGGAGCCAGGCTGGGGCTGCTGGGTCACTGTGAAGCGCAGCTCTCCTCCATAGGAGGTCACCTGGGACGCAGGGTGGACAGGCACTCAGCTGGGGCCCCACTGTCAGGCCCTGCCACTGCTCCAGCCTCCCACTGCTCCAGCCTCCCACTGCTCCAGCCTCCCACTGCTCTAGCCACTTATCCGACCTCTTCTCCAAAGGAACATGACACTCCTGCTTCCAGGCCTTTGCCTGTGCTGTTCCTGCTGCCTAGAATTCCCATTTTCTTCCCACCCCCTGCCCACCTTGTCCCCCCGGAAGCGAGAAGGGAGGCTCCAGAAGTAGGGGCCAGAGAGGAGGTTGTGGAAGGAGGAGAAGACCAGCTCCCCAGGCACGGGTGATGAGATGCCCTCGCTGGTGGTGTGGGTGCCTGCGGTGTTGGTCAGGCTGAACTGAGTGGGCTCCTCAGAGGCCCCATGCACCTGGGAGGGGAGAAGAGGCCAGGATGGGGGCTGTGGCCTGGGACTGGCGCTTGGTCCACCCAGCCCTGGGCTCGTCATCGCGCCTGTCTGCCCACCCACCAGCCTCGCAGAGGTACCTGGGCGCGATTCCAGGTGGAGCTGGTGCACTGGCGACTGACGCCCATGCAGAAGCACTTGAGGCAGCCGTCGGGGTTGTGGGCACTCAGGTGAAAGGAACCAGCGACACACTCATTGCACAGGCGCCCCACCACGTTGTTCTGCAGGCACAGAGCTGGGAGCTGCAGGGTGGCCCACGGGAGGGGCTGCCTGGAGCTTCCGGCCTAATCTACCCACATTCTAGATGGGGACCAAAGGCCAGGGGGAGTTATGGAAAGAGTACACGTATGAGGGGTCACCACCATGGGGACAATAATTCCCAATTAATGGGAGCTTATGCAACAAATCATTTTTCCCTTTTCTCTTTGGTTGCTAGGGGGCTCACAAATACAATTAGATGTGGAACATAGCAACTTGGTTAAAATAATTCCTGCTACTATTTATGGAGTGTTCCACGCACTGTGCTAGTTTCTGTTCAACCATCATCCCTTCCGGGAGGTGAGCACTCCTCTAAGGACCCTGAGAGTGATAGCTCCATGCTTCACATGAGGAAACCAAGGCTCAGGGATGAGAAATGATTTACACAAGGTCACTCAGCTTGCTAATCCACTCTGGGATTTAAGATGAGGAGCGCTTGACTTCAAAATCTGTCCAGTTCCTTCTTCCACTGACACTTGACTCTCCCACTCTTAATGCCAATGATTCCCCTCCTCTGAGCCTCCATTCCCTCGCCTGTAAATTGGCGATGCTAACACCTACATCACTGCATCAACGTGAGAATTAAAGTGTGGTAAAAGCAAAGGGACACTACAGATACAGTGGTCACACAAAGAATGATCAGCAAAGAATCTGAGACATGAACCCAGGTCACGTGACTCGCCAACCAGTGTTCCTTCCTGACGCCAGGCCACCTCTCATGAGGGGGAAGACCAGCCAGCCAGGCCCTCCAGCTAGGCCCCCACCCACTGGCAAGGAGCTGTGGAGAGGACGGAGCCTCCTTCCTCCCTCTGCCAGCTGTGCTGGGACCCGAGGCCCCTGGGGTGCCGAGGGGAGGGCATGCGTACCTTACAGCGACAGGTCTGCCCAGAAGTCCCCAGGCTGCCTCGCTCATCACAGCGCACAATCTCCTGGTCTGCAGGCACAAAGCGGGTGTTGGCAGGGTCGGTGGGAATGGGATAGACATAGTCTGGGCAGATGGGGGACAGAGCAGGGCACCTCCCCACGGATCATGGGGTTTGTGCTGGGCCTGGTGGGCGGCCTGGGAAGGCGCTGAGGGATGGAGGCTGCAATACTCACTGGTGGGCCTGCACTTCCCGCCCGGCTGGATGGGGTTGCCCTCATAGCCAGGGGCACAGCTGGGGGAGAGAGGGCTGTCAGTGGCATTTCCATGCCTCCGCCCAGTAGGGCCTGCTTCCCCCAGCCCCGCTGCTCTCCCTCACCTCTCACAGCGGCGGCCTGTGTAGCCCGGGGCACACGCGTCACATGTGGCTTGGCCATCCGTGTCCAGGAAGCAGGTGTCTGAGAATCTGTGGGTATCAAGTGGACAGCACATGGGGCAGGGCTGCAGCGATGGGCAGGCCAGGTCTCACAGTCCCACTCTGGGAAATGACTGCTGTCCACACGGACACAGTTAGCTACGAGGCATGATGTCGTCTCTCTGCCTGCCCATCCTTGATCTGCAGCCTCAGAGCAACACTAGGAAGACAAAAGGCCCATTATATGGAAAAGGAAACTGAGGCCTGGACAGGTCAAGAGGCATAAACAATTTAGTGACCAAGTTAGGGTGTGAACCCAGGTCTCCCACCTCCCTCCTCCCAGAGTATGTCCCTCACCTGCTGCCCTGCCCGCTCCCCCAACCATGTCTGCCCCCTCCCGAGCTGGGTCTGACCTGCGGGAGGCGTCGATGTATGGGCAAGGGCAGGGCCGGCAGGCGGTGGCTGTGGCCTTTGTGGCATCCCCAAAGAAGCCGGCCTTGCATTTGTTGCACTGTGGCCCCTCCGTGTTGTGCTGGCAATTCTGGGAGGAAAGGGTTCTAGGTTCTAGAGAGCAGCCCTCCGCCCCCAGTGCGGGACCACGCTGGGCCCCACGGGCTCCCTAGGGTGGGCCTTTGAGGCTGTGTGGCTCAGCCTCCCCCTCACACTGAATACTCCACAGCTTGGCAGACAAGGGAGCATCCAGCTACATCCTGATGGGGAACTCATCACCTCATGTGGCAGCCTGTCTCACAGAAGGTGCTTTATACTGACCTAAACCTGCCCCCTCTTCCAATCTGCACCTAGAGGCCAATTCTGCCTTCGGGAGTCTGTTCCTTCTAGCCTGACAGCTCCTCAGGGGTTTGGAGACACCAGTTTTCCCTGCTCGAGCATCCTCTTCTGTCAGCTCCACAATCCCAGTTCCCCCCACTATTCCTTAAGAAATAACGTCTGATTACAGGCTCCTTCCCCTTAGGGCTGCCCTGCTAAGGGCCATGCTTTACATGGTGCTCTCCAGGATTGACGTGACCAGGGTGGAACAGGACCTTCACCTCCCTTATCTGGACATTATATTTCTGTTAATGCATTCAGATCATGATCGCTTGTCTGACAGCCATGACAACCGTTCTGGTGGCTTGTGCTAAGCTTGTGGGTACAAGGAAGCCTCAGCCTGGGCCTCCCACCCTGCCCTTGCCCCCTGCCCCTAGCCAGTGTCCTAGAGCTAGCTGGCACTACTCACCAGGCAGTGACCATATACAGGGTCACAAGAGCTGGCATGGCCATTGCAGTTGCAGCCAGAGCACGTGCCCAGGTAGGGCCCACCAGGCACCCGGGTGAAGTGGGCATCACAGCTCTCACAGGACAAGCCGGAATAGCCAATGGGACATCTGTGGGGACAGGACCAGGTCAGTGGCTGCAGGAACCGTGAGGCCCTGCTGTTTGTCCCCTACCCTTGCCAGGGTCTCTGTGGTCCCCAGCCCCGCCAGATCAGGCACCTGCACTCCTCTACACTGTGCGCACGTCCGTGGCTGGTGGCATGGGTGACAGTGGTATCCATGGTGATGTCACTCAGCCCGACGCTGGCCATCTTGGTGTTGTACACGGTCTGGATGAGCACGGCCTCCAGGCTCTGGAGCACCTGCAGCAGCTCTGCCCGCTGCACTGGCTGGCCAGACTCATGGACCCAGTGCTCCTGCATGGGACCAAGGTGGGGAGGTCACACGTCAGCACCTGCCCAGCCTGCACCTCCGTCACCCCCAGCCCTGGGGGTTCAGGCATGCCTACCTCAGAGAATTGGACTTGGCGCTGGTTCAGAGCACCGGGCTGGGTGGGTGTGTGGCCTCGGGAGAGCAGGCGATACCCGGCGCCCACGAGGACCACGTCCGGACGCTGCACCGGCTCCAGCGTGCCACGCGCCAGCTCATAGCGCACCTTGTAGCGCAGGGAGCCACCGTAGGAGTCCACCTGGCCGAGACAGGGCACATGAGGGCAGGGCAGGCGTGATGCCCACTGTGTCCAGTCGCCTATCGTCCCTCACTCTGCGTACCTGATGCTCACTGTGTGCCTGGCACAGAGCTGGGCACAGGGACCCAGAGACGGGTGGGACCTGGGCACTGCCTTGGGGTACTCAGTCTGATGTAAGCGGGAGTATGATAATGCTGGGCCAGAGGTGCCCAGGGAAGCCCGAGGAGAGCACGGAATACCACCCAGGTGTGGGGGAGTGGTCCGGCATGGCTTTCCAAAGTCAAGTCAGCATTCCTCCCAACCTGAGAGTGGGAAGACCCCGCCCTGGAGGAATGAGCCATTGCCCGCAGGCGGCTGCGCTGGGGCATGACCACACCTCTCCCCAGAGCTGAGTCTGCCCTGCTGCCCGCAAGCTTCAGAGGGAGGAGAGCCCAGGCAGGTCCTGACGGGCATGCGAGGAGTGCCTGGCCCTTCCCCATCCAGGGCGGCCACCCGGCCTCTCACCTTGTTGCCCAGAAACTGTTCGGGCAGAGCCCAGAAAGAGTCGTGGACCAGGAAGCGTCGGGACAGGTCGACCAGCTGGAACTCCTGCAGAGCAGTGTCGATCTGCAGCTGTGTGGAGGAGAGGGGCGGCATGCCGGGCTGCGCGGGCATCGTCACGTTCACGCCTGCGGGGGGCAGGAGGGAGGGGTGAGGGCTGCAGTGCGTGCCTCCTGGGACACCCACCTTGAGGAGGGTAACCCAGAAAGACGAGAAAGTTCTGGGAGAAGTTTGACGTAGAGAGAACTTTAGTCTCACACAAAGTCAAAAAAAAGCAAAGATTTTTTCCCCCTGAAGTTTTGGAGCTGCATTTCTCAAAGCCTGCTCTGGGGAAGGCCGGTGCCTGCAGGATGGTGGCTGGGAACCATTCGGGAAACACAGGCTCAAAGAAAGGGCAGGGGAGTCTTTGCAGCAGGACTTCTCAGAGCCTTTTGCTTGCTAAGAGAACCACGGACTGTCAGGGTTGGAACAGCCCTCAGCGGGCAGTAGTGAGCTACACAGGGCTGAGGAACAGGCCCAGGTCCTGGTTCCACCACCCTCCAGATGTGCAAGTCTGGGCAAAGGCCTCAGTTTTACTGTTCTGCAAAACAGGGGTGAGAGTGGCTTGCCTCACAGGGTTACTGGGAAGACAAAATGAGCCAAGTGATATAAAATGGTTAAAACAGAGTGTGGCACACAGGAAGTACTCAAAAACCGGTTAGCTGTTGTTGCTGTTATGACGGGTCATCTAGTCCAACCCTCTCCTGCACATACACACGCACACACACACACACACACAGGAATTCTCTCTCCAGCATCCTCCCAGGTCTCCAGGGCAGCACTAACCCTCCAAGAGAAATTGGTGTGATGACGGCAATGTTCTATCTCTACCCTCCAACACGGTAGCCACCAGCCACATGTGGCTCCTGAGCACTTGAAATGTGGCCAGTGCGGCTGAGGAAATGAATTAATTTATTGAAATTTAAATAGCACACATGGCTGGTGACTACCACCTCGGACAGCTCTAAGGGAACGGGGAGCTCACTACTTTCAAAGGCAGACCCTCCCAACTCTGGGCAGTTTTGACTCTTAGAAAGTTCTTCCTTATGCTGAGTCTACGTCTGCCAATAGCGTTTTGTCTTGATCCTAGATGTAAGCCCTGCAACCATCGAGGGTCCAGCCCCTCGTCTGCAGAATGGCCACGCATAGTCCCCACGACCGGACCACACCACCCCAGGCCTTCCTTCCTCCCTCCCTTCCAGGGATGTTTTCAGGCCCCCTCTATCCTGGTCACCATCCATGCACAGGCCACCTGCTCATCCTGCAATCCCTGTCCACGCTGACCATTCTGATTCCAGCCAGGCCTGGGTTCCAGTTCTGCCTCTAAACAGCTGTGTGACCCCAGGGAAGCCCCACAACCTCTTGGAGCCTCCGATCCTCATCTGAAAGCAGTGAAACCAGCCCTGACCTTGCAAGGACTACCGGCCATTCAATGACTATTTGAGTCAAGCCACAGTGCTGACTGAGGGCTTAACCAATGGTGGCTGTGGCCAATATTATTCTAAATATACTGAGGGACAACTCCGGAAGGTAACTTTGCTTTATAAGAGTCACTTTGAGGTTCCTCAACCAAAGAAGGCACAAAATAGGCAACATTTGTCGAGTGCTTCCTGTGTAAGGAGCTAAGCCCTCTCCATGCATTTAATCCTCTGTGATGAAGGAAATGAGATGAGGGGCTGCTGACGTCAGGTGGTAAATGACAGAGCTGGGACTTGAACCCAGGTCCGTCTGATGTCTGGGTCCATGCCATTTTGCCTCTCAGAGCCAGAGAACTGAGTCCAACTGCTTGCCTTTATGTTTGGGAAAACAGGTTCAGAGAAGCCAAGAGAGTTGCCCAAAGTCACACAGCAGTAACTGCTGCAGCTGGAGGTCAGCTAAGAAGATGCCAAAGCCTGGGCTCTTGTGATCTGGGGACACCGGCATCTCTCATCTCTCAGGATTAGGATGATGAGGATGATGAGGACATTAGGGAATACTTACTGGGCCCTTACCACGGACCAAGCACTATTCTGAGTAGCTTCTATTAACCTATCAAGTCCCTACAACAACCCGGGACGTAGTTATTATTTTATCCCCATTTTGTAGATAACAAAACTGAGACACAGGATAGTCACTTGACTAAGGGCACACAGGCAGGAAGGGTCAGGGTCAGGATTTGAGCCAGGAATCTGGCCCAGTGCTCATCGTCTTCATAACCCGGAACGGGCAAATATCAAGTGTGGATTTGGCTTTTCCTGAAAAATGTTTGTTTTCTCCTGAAAACAAGCTCTTCTTACAGGGCCCAGCTGAGTCCCTCCTGGAGCCTGGCCCCATCTGTCCAGCGCCTGCTGTGCTCCCACATCTGCCCTCTCTGAGCCCACTGGAGCCTGGGGCCTGCCTCCGGCCCACCACAGCGCCCGCCCCCCCCCGCCGGCCCGCCAACGCACCCTTGAAGTCATTGGGCTGGTCAAAGCGCAGCCGGATCTGGTCTCGGTAGCGCTGGCTGCTCTGGCACACGCTGGTGACGCCAAAACAGAAGCAGGGCAGGCAGGAGGCGCTGTGCTCCAGGTAGAAGTGTCCGTCGGGGCAGGGCCCTGCCGGGCGGCACAGGAGTGGCTGCAGCCGGCCCGGCAGGCAGCCCCAGCTCCACCCCCAGCTCGACGTCCACCCCCCTACCCACCAGCTGTACCTCGCTGTGGAATGAGCTCCAGGACCCCGTCAGGGATGCCGAACACCATGCCTCGGGCATTCATGGCCTCACAGGTGTAGGCACCCTGGTCTGCCTCCTTCACGTCGCGAATGGTCAGTGTGCCACGGCCTCCTTCGCTGGTCACTGTCACCCTGGTGGGCCCGAGACAGAGGCGAGGTCAGCCCTGGGCCACTGGCCAGCCTCCCCTACCTCCCCGACCCCTGCCGGGCCCAGAGCAGCACCTGGGATGAGAGGGGATGTGGCCCCAGTTCAGCCTCCAGTTGATGATAGGGGTGGGGACGCCCATGGCCACACAGGTGAAGGTGACTGTTTGGCCCCGGGAAGCCTGGATCGACTCCTGGGGAGGGGTCACCACCTGGGGGGGCACTGGGAGACCAGAGCAGGAGTGAGGGGTGTGAGGGGCAAAAAGAGAAGGAGTAGGGGGAGTGGCTCCAAGGAGCCAGGTGGGGGGAGAGTAGAGGCTGAGACCATGGAAAGGGGTGCCAGGAACCCGGCCCAGGGCCCCCAGCTCGCCCCCCCTGCTCCCTGCTCACTGCAGCCAAACTCATCGCTGCGGTCGGGACAGTCGCTCTCCTCGTCACAGTGGAAGCTGGCCGGGATGCACGTGTTCGTGGAGACACAGCGGAACTGCGTGGGCCCGCATACGTCCTCGGGGCGCTTGGCAGCTGGGGACAGAGCCAGGTAGTGTGGGCAGCAGGCACTGCCCTCACAGAGGACCACGCCCAGTCCGTACCAATGCCCAACAGCCCACCCTGTCCACCTTCCCCAGGGTCATTCTCCCATTTCACCCACAAGACACACCGCTGCCCTGGCCAGGCTCAGACACTGCTGCCACAACACTACCCACAGCGTCACGGCCACCAGTCAGCCATCAAACAGCCTGTCACATTACCCTGCCCCCACCATTCACTCCACCTGTGTGCCAGTTATACCTGGCACATCACAATTCCTTGGTTCCTCCCACATTCAGCCTCCCCTGGAAGCATAGAACCCTGTCAGAGGCACAGGCAAAGTGGCCAGTGTCTCTGGACACCGGGTGACACCTGGGGCAGCTCTCTCTCCCAGAAAGGCCTTGCAAGGGGCCTGCCACAGCTTGGACCGTGCTGCTCTGTACCCCTCTCACTGGCCTAGGGGTGACGCATGACCTGAGGCCTATGGACTGGCCAGAGGCCTGCAGTTGGCCTGGCCCCAGGGCTGGGCCTCAGGTGGCATCTCTAGTAGATGGTGACTGGCATTCCTCCTCAGAGAGACTGAGCTTGAGACAGACACACAGACAAGGATGGAAAAGGCAGAGTGGTACAGGAGTGGAGGCCACATGTCCACAGAGAAGGAACCGAGCAGAGGCCAGGAGGCAGCTATCTACTGACACTACCTCAGATGCTTCTGCCCCAACACCCTCCAAGCCCCCAAGGCCACTCAGCTTTCACGTCCTCTGTTCTGTGTTCTCAAAATGAGGGCTCGGCCTCCCTTGGACTCTTCCCCAGCAGAGGCCTCTGAGAAGGGCGTTTCAACTAAAGCCCTCAATGACTTTCTCTCTGCCCAGGAGCCTGTTGTCAAGCAAGCTTAGAACGACGGAAAGATGTCATAAAACTCGGCCAGTCTCCGGCATAATGCTGCCTGTGTTTGCCGCAGAGCGGGGAAGGTGAGGGGAGGCAAGGAGGAGAAGCTGGAGCGGAGGACAGCAGGGACGTCAACCTACACTCAGACAGGTGACCCACGATTACAGAGAAATGGGAAGATGATCCTTGATCTTGGACTAACGAGCCCCAGGCTTCACCTCACAGGACAACACACAAGAGGCTACTCTATAGGGTCTCTGACTCTCCAGCCTAACTCATTTAACTGTCATAATGTCCATAACACTGATTATGTGGGTGGATAGGAAACGGGTAGATAGCTGGTTGGATAGCTGGATAGGAAGGAGGAAAGATGTTGGCTATATGAATAGACGGATGGATGGAGAGCTGGAAAGATGGACCACGGATGGATGGATGATAGAATGGATGGCAAAATGGACAGGAGGAAGGTTGTCAGATAGACGAGTGGACAGATATACGAAGAGCTGTGCAGACAGACAATGAATGGATGATAGTTGGATGAATGAGTGGGTAGATAGATGGATGGGAGAGAGGAAAGATGTTGGACAGATGGATGGATGGACAGATGGACAATGGATAGTTGAATGCATAGATGGATGAAGAGCTGGGGAGATGGAGGAGCAAATATCTCAGAACCAGCTGTGGATGAAAAACCTGTAGCCCAGTAGGGGGAACGTTTTGACTCATACATACATCAAGGGACCCGGCGTATGAAGCCCTCTCTACTCCTCTGACCCCCACACAAGCATAAATAACAAGGAGAAGATTAGTGGTAACAAAATAAAGAAGATAAATAGAGAGATTAACCACAGGCAGTCTAGCCACACTGCTTGCTACCAAGGCCAGCTCAGGGCCAAGGTTCCTCACTGCTGGGGTCAGAGAGAGAGATAAACCTTAAAGTTTGTCCTGAGAGCCTTCACCACTCAGCCGGGGAGAGCAAACAAACCTGCTGGAGAAGGGACAGGGTAGGGACAGGGTAGGCGCCCGGCGGCCCCAGGGACACTCACGGCAGTCGGCCTCATCGGTGCGGTCCTCACAGTCAAAGTCGCCATCGCAGCGCCACAGCTTGAGGGCACAGTGCCCATTTCCACAGGGGAACTCATTGGGCTCACAGGGGGGCGTGGGGCCTGGGTGGACCAGGCACGGTTCAGCTGGTGGCCCTCCCCTGGCCAGCGCCCCCGCCCCTCACCCCCACCTCCAGCCCTGCCCCACCCTCACCGCAGTCCAGCTCATCACTGCCATCCTTGCAGTCCTCCTGCCCATCACAGACGTAGTCTTTGGGGATGCAGTGCCCGCTGTGGCAGGCAGCCTCGTGGGGCCCACAAGGCACGGGCCTGTGTGGTTCAGGGAACAGAGGCTGGGGAGCGGGGGTGACTAGTAGCTGCCGTATGGTGGCCACCTCCGGGTAGTGTGGTGGAAGTGGCGTCTCCATCAGAGGGGGTGGCAGGGAGCTGAGCTCTGGGACCAAATCCTCTGTGGACAGAGCCCCTGCGGCGTTGGCACGAAGGGGTGGCTCCTCATCCCTTACCCCTCACGCTCCCCAGGCCAACCCTGCCGCACCCAGTGACCCCGGCCCTGACCCTGCTATCACTGTTCCTGTGTCCACTCCCTCCTCCCTCAGACCCCTCTGCCTGCACCGACCCCTCACAGCCAACCCCAATTGACTCAGACGCCGAGGCAAACCCTGGCCCTGCCCGGCATCTGAAGGCCACTGTGCCCCCAGAAAGCCCCTCACCGCAGTTGAGCTCATCGGACATGTCCCTGCAGTCAGGCCTCCGGTCACAGCGATACTCCAGGGCCACACACTCATTGTGGCTGTGGCAGGCAAACTCGGCCTCGGTGCAGACCCTTGCGACCTGGGGCACTGAGGGGGTTGGAGGGAGTCAGCGAGGCAGGCGGGAAGCTGGCGGAGGGGATCATGGACCACACAGGCACTGCACGGCTGCGCGTGGGCTTGGGGGCCGGGTGTCAGGCCACGTGGTTTCTGGCAGGCTCAGTGAGCGCAAGGAGCACACAGTGGACACACCCACAGCACACGTGGGACGTGCGATATGTGGCAGGGTGTCACCCATCCCTTACACAGACCCCACACGCAGTTAACACACCACACGCATGCGACCATCACATCACACACATGCAGGCCACGGCCTGGCCCAGTGAGGATGAAGAGCAAGGAGAGAAGGGGCGGCTTGGGGGCTATGCCCAGCCATCTCGCCCTCGTCCTTCCTTCCCCTCCATTCATTAATTTCTCCAGTGATCCAGCTGGGCCTGGGTCTGGCTGCACTCTCACCTGGTGTCACTGGAGCCGCCATGGCGGCCAGGGGGGGCGGGGGGGTCTGTGCTGGAAAGGAAGGTGTGATCAGTAGCCATCCAACCTGCGACATGGGCGCTGTGGCCTGCAGCACTGAGCCAGGCCCATCCCACCCTCCCTAGCTGGGAAGACTCATTGAAAAGTGGGGAGAAGAGGGCTGGACCCCCAGAAATCTTAAGACCTGGACCTGGGGATGCCAAAAGGGTACACTTGATCTTTGGGTGCATTAATTGAGGTTTTATGTGCAGAACGAGGGAGTGACGGTTTCACTCTTTGTTTCTGACTGGGTCACCATGGTAGGGATGGAGTTTGTTCAGTTCTCGGTTCCACTGAGTCAGGGATGGTGACCTGTTGGAGGCTTCCCAGAGAGGAGGGACTGAGATGGAGACGGGGCTGAAACCTGTAGCCTGTGAGGAATGAACTGGGACTGTCTGGCCAAGAGAAATACTCGGGGAGTCAAAACAGGAGATACAGGGTGCAGCGAAAAGAAACCTGGGCTGACCAAGAGTATGCAGGCCAGCCTTCGCATCTAACAGCTGTGCGACTTTGGGCCAGTTTCCTATTCTCTCTGAGCCTCAGTTTCTCATCTGTTTCTCATCTCATCTCCACAGGTTCTGGCAAGGCTGGTACAGACACAGGGTTTGGGTTAAATTCTGGCTTTTCCACTTTCTGCACATGTGAACTTGGACAAGCCATTCTTCCTCTCTGGGCCTCAGGACTCTCATCTCTAAAACAGGAGGCATTCCTTCACAGGAATTAGCGTGGAGACTGAATATGAGGGCCTTACAGAGCGCCTTGCATATAGTCAGTGCTCAGTAAACAATTATTCATTATGATTAAACACAAAAGGGTTTTGGACCTGAAAGTACTGTATGAAGAAAGGAATTATTACCTTTTATCATTGTACAGGGGTTGAAAGAGACAGAGCAGAAATTGGGTCTAAGGGGTACATGTCAGAGGAAACACATTATGCTCAGCCCAAGCCAAGATTACATAAAGATTGATGGGGCAGACTCATAGGTAGTGAGCTCCCTGTCCCTAGCAGTGTGCGAGCCCAGCTAGGAGAGCCCATGGTGGAGACACTGAAGGGGACCCACATGAGTCTGAGAAACTAGAGGAGGTGACCCCAGGCTCCAGGGTGGGCTTACCTGTGCCCAGGCGTCGGAACTGGAATCCCTGGGGTGAGGTGATATAGGAGGCGATGGAGCCACTGGAGATGACTGTGTGCAGCACCTCCTGAATCTGAGCCCCGTCCGCATTCCCTTCGGAGCCCACATCCAGCTCCACAAACACCCAGCCATCCAGCTCCCTAGGGAAGAGCATGGGGCAGGGGAGCAGGGTGAGGGAGACGCCTACGGTCTCAGCTCCTCCCTTGGCCTCTTGCCTGATGCTCAGGCCTGATCTCTTGACTCCTCCCCTGCTCCTGGACAGCCTGTACCCCAAGCAGGACACGTTAACGTCCAAAGTGTCCCCCCCGCCAATTCCTGAATGTCCGCCAGTAGAGATTCACCCCATTAGGCTTCTCCTGCCTCCCTTCCTGGTACCCAGGCATCTCCCCATCCTTGTCAACCCCTCCAGGTTACCCCAGTCCCTCACCAGCCCCCAGGGGACCCTTCTCACTTGATGAACACCACACTGACAACCTGGTCTCCGGGAATCTTCAAGTACTCTGACTCCAGCTGGAGAGATACAGAACCATCAGCCTCCAAATACTTTCACCCCATCCTCAGTCCTCCCTCCCCCCAACCCGGGGCAGCTCCCCAAAGCCCCTTCACCTCACCGTGTCTACCACAGCCTCAGACACCTCTCGGAACTCCTCGGAGCTAGCGTTCTCCAGCCGAGTGCTGTAGTCGATGGAGCGAGTGAAGTTTACCAGGGCTCGGAAATAAACTGCAGAAAAAAGAGAGGTGTCACTGCAACGCCCAGGGGCCCCGCCTGGCATGTGGTGGCCTCAGGCAGCTAGGCCAGTGGATGGAAATGGGGGAAGGGTCCCTGGAGGCCTCTTGCTGAGGCTGACACCTGTGTGCCCACAGCTACACCCAGCACTGCTTGTGTGAGCACACGCCGAAGTGGCCCTGGCAGGCCTGCCCAGGGGTCAAAGCCGAGGCCCCAGCCTTGAGTGAGGGGCTTCAACCAACAGGGAAAATGGCCTGATCCAGAAACCAAGTGATGGTGCAGACGAGGAGACTCCCAACAGCTCAGAGGATGACTAGACAAGTAGGGGTGGCTTCCAGAGGAGGCTCGCCCGGCATAGAAACTACTCGCGAGTGACTGTGTCATGCTTCCCTACTCTTCCCTGGAAAATTCCTACTCATCCTGCAGGCCTCAGCCATCACCTCCTCCAAGAAGACTGCCTGAACGGCCCTCCTTCCCCAACCCTGGCAGGGTTAGGCTAGAGATGACCTCTTTGGGCCTCCCCAGCCCCTCTGCTTCTCCCATCAGAGCATCTTCTACCCCAGCATCACACAGATCCAGAGGTCTACCACCCTGGGCTGCTGTGGGGAAGGAATGATGCTACGCTGACACACAGCATCTCTCTGTGCCCTCAGAGGCAGCACCTGGTGTGCAGCAAGCGCTAGTGAATCGGAAGCTGTTGCCATCCTTCTCTCTCTACCGCTAGCCTATGAACCTGACTGTGGATCCCTGGATCTCGCTCACCCCTGAATCCCCAATGCCTGCACAGTGCCCAGCACATAGTAGGTCCTAGTTAGTGATGGCTGAACAAATTCACGTCAGATTGGTGTGAGCATACACACACCACTATTGTTTCTTAAGCACCTTCTGTACACATTTTATACACATTAAATCTCAATATTGCTAAGTTCACATAGAAGCTATAAACATGAGTTAATGGGAGCCGCAAATGAATCATATACATGTGTTTACAGACACACACACCAAGTGTTTCTTCAGCACCTATTATGTATAAGATTTTTTATGCATTAATTCTCATAATGTTCATGAATTAAGGTGTAAATTATAAATACTGAGTTGATGCAAGTTACAAATGAGTTTAAAACATGTACAAAGTGCTTAGAATAGAGCCCGGCACACAGTAGGTGCACTATAATACGAGCTATTACTGTCTGAGGGGCAGTGTACCCTAGTGGCTGAAAGCTCAGCCTCTGGAGCAAAACTGCCACTTCCAGCCTTGTGACCTCGAGCAAGTTTCTTAACCTCTCTGAGCCTCAGTGTCCTCATCTACAAAACGGGGATCATAGTAGTGCCCCCCGGAGGGCTGTCGTGAGGACTAGTAAGTTCACGAACGTGAGGCCTCACAGCAGCGTCTGGCATACAGTAGGGGCCACGTGGGTCGAGCGTGATTGTCATCTCTGGTCTTTATGACAAACTCAAGGCCTGGATTTGGTTTTACTTCTTCCCATCTGCCGGAGGCATCACTGCTTTAGCAAACCTACAGGGAGGGCCTGCCATATGCCAGGCGGTGTTCCAGGGACAGAGGATAAAGTGGTGAACTCCACAAATGACAACTCCTGTCCCCACGGAGGCCACTTTCTAGTGGGAGGAGAAAGAAAATCAAATGGGCAAGGACTATACGGACTATGGAGGAAAAAAACAAGGGCTGGGGGGAGCGTGTTCTGGGGTGGGCGAGGCGCCTGCTTTCCCAGGGTGGCCAGGGCAGGCCTCTCCTCCAAGGGGCCGCCCGAAGGAAGAGAGTGAGCCATGGGGAGGTATCTGGGGGAAGAGCATTCCAGCAGAGGGAACAGCAGCTGCAAAGTCCCTGAGGCAGAATTGGGCTCAGAGAGGTGACAGATGACCAGCGAGTAGGTGGCAGAGCAGGGAGTAGCACTGGCTGGGCCTGACTATAAGGCATGTCCTCCCTTTTCATTCTGTCTGGCCACAGGTGCACACCCCCCCGAGCCAGGGCCTCTCCCTCTGTGGCTCGGGCTGAGCAGGCCCTGGGGGGATCAGGATGGAGCGTCTGAGGAAGACGCGGGAGTGGACTCCGACAGCAAGAGAGGGTGCTTAGGAGGGCCGCCCTGCCTGCTCTGACCACAGGGACTGTGCCGGGCTGCGCTTCTGGGTGCCGGGTGGGCGGGGCTCTGTGGGCTGGAGTGTGGGGGCCGTGAGCTGGGCCACAGAGGCCCCTTGTGAACAGGCACAGAGGTCCATTGAGAGTCCCCCCACCCCGGCCCCTGGCCTCAGCCCCACGGCTGAGCACAGGCAAGGAGGCCGGGCCTCTGCCCAGGAATGTGCCTGCTCCCGGGGGAGGGGGCCAGGCTCCACAAAGCTCCTTTCTACTAGGGCCTGGGAAGGGCACGGACCCCCCAGCCTGAAGCCACCCCCGCCTTCTCCCAGACCAGGGGCAGGTCAGGGGAGCACCCTCTCTTCCACCCCGAGCTGCCTCCCTGCGGGGGTGCCTGAGGGTGGGGGCAGAGGTGAGGCTTTTCAGAAAGCAGCCTCCACAGCGGAGGGTGCTGGAAGGGAGTGGTGCTGCCTGGGGGTGGGAGTGCTCTCTGGGTGCCTGCCCTGGCCACTCCTCTCCCCCCTGGTCCTCATTCTGACCCTGCTTGGAGAGCTCACTTGGAGCCAGAGGCTGGAGGGACAGGAGGCCCAGGGTAGGCCTGCACCAGGGTGGGGCTGGGGAATGCACGCCTGACCGCCCCCAGCCCTGGAGCAGGCTGCCCCACCTGCTCCTGATACCCACCCCCTGCTCAACAGAACTACTCCCCAAAACACACACACCCCAATCTCGAGCACAGGGTCCCGTGGGTGGGCTCAGGATCAGCCGGTCCTGAGGTGGACACAAGTCACTTCCAGCCTCAAGGGCCTCGTCCCCTGAGGGGTTGCTGCACCCACCCTTGCCCAGCCAGCACCACGGGGGGCGGACACCAGGGGTCTGGTCCACTGTGTTTAGACTGTGTGCCCAGAGGGGGTCTGGCTGCATCCTGGGCAGGAACAGGGCAGAAGGTGGGGCCAGCTGGAGTAGGGCAATGGCTGGCCTGACCTCAGACCCTGCAAGGAGGTGCCTCTGAGCCTCAAGTGTGACAAAGTGTAGGCTGGGGAGGAAGAGGAGAAGAAGGAGAAAGGAGTGAGGAGCAAGAGCAGGGAGAGAGGGTGGGGACGGAGAGAAGGACGAGCTCCCGCTGGGCTGGCCGGTCACTCACTGAGAGGAGACTTGTTATCAGGCTCCAAGACCACCATGCCAGCCACGGGACGTGACAGGAGGGACGGAGACAGCAAGGGAGGTGGAGAGAACCAAAGGAGAGACAGAGAGAGAGAGAGACGGACAGATGGAAGGAGGAATGACAGAGAGACACAGAGAGAGATGGAGACAGAGACACAGAGATGGAGACAGAGACACAGAGATGGAGACAGAGATACAGAGATGGACACAGAGAGACACAGAAAGAGATGGAGACAGAACGGAGAGAAAGTGGGGGGAGAATGAGAGAAAACAGGCGAGACAAAGGCAGAAAGGAGAGGGAAAGACAGAGACACAGAGGCAGAGATGGCTAGCCAAAGAGACAGAGGGAGAAGTCACAGAATGAGACAGAGGAGGCACAGACAAGACAGAGACACGAGGAATAGGAAAGAGACAGCCCAGGCAGGGGCAGAAGGCAGCAGGAGAGACATGGAGACAGGTGCCAGAGCAGGACAGACAAGAGTGGGAAAGACAAAGAGACAGGTCAGAAGACAGAAAGAAACTGGGTGAGGGGAGGTGGGCAGGGGTCCCAGGGAGGGAGAAGGAGAGCCAGGGGTGCCAGGGAGGTGGGTGAGACAGGCCTGGGGCAGAGCCAAGGGGAGCCATGACCCTGCCTGAGGGAAGAGGAGAGAGGCAGGCTGCCCCAGGGGCTACACTCCAGGGCTGGGGCTGGGGCTGGGCCAGGGCCTAGGCAAGGGGCCCAGCCAGGTAGGGTCCATCACGGTCATGATGGCCCTTGTGTACCAGTGCAGGGAGGGCACTGACCTTGGGCAAGGCTGCAGCAGGCACATGGAGACCCTGGGAATCAGGGAGACACACCTGCTGCCTCCCGGGCGGAGATTCAACCCAGCTGCCTGGACCTGCCCCAAGGGCAGCAGGCCGGTGCCAGGGCTTGGCCTGGAGGGTCTATGGCCCCACACCTTCCCACAGATCAGCCCCACTCAAAAGGGACCTCCCAGCAGCTGCTCTTCATCCCTCCCCTTCTCCCACCTCTGGCCTCTCCTGCCCTCACAGCTGCTTCTTATGGGGGAAGGTGGGCCAGCAAGGATGACTCAGAGTGGGCAGAGCTGTCACAGTGGGCAGCCCCCTGGGAGGGGCCACAGCTGTTTCTGAATGGACAGGGTGGACTGGACCAGTGGGCAGGCCTGGCTTAGCAAGAGGGAGCTCCCAGGGACCCACAAGCAGAGGCCTTCTGGGGTGTGAGCTGTGTGCATGAGGCCCACCTGACACCCATCCCCAGGTCCCAGCCAGCACCCAGGCATCCTGTAGCCCTGCAGAAACCAACACGTGGAGAAGCTTCAGGCAGTGGCTGAGTCCCAGGTGCTGGGACGTCACAGCCAGGACCAACCAACAGTTGCGCCACCCAGAGGCCAACCCTCCTTTGCGCACTGGTCCAGGTAGGCCAACACCCTCTTGAATTTGGATGCCCCTGATATGCCAGCCAAAGGGAGGCAACCCTACCCCTGGAGAGGCCCAGGCAGACTCGCCACAGGCCTGCTGGGGTGGGCAGCCCTGGATGCAGAGGGGCTGCCCAGGGGACATGCTGAGCTGAGCTCCAGAGAGGGCAGCAGGCACCATATGGAGCTGCTGGGGCTTGTACCCAGGTAGCTCCTTCTCTACCCAGAATCCCAGGCTGGGAGGAAACAGGGACTCTGAGCCCCTGACTCAGCGCAGGGCCAGGCCGTGTACTGGCTGTGCCCTTCGAGTGCTGGCAGAGTGGGCAGCTGACGAAGGCCTGACTCCTCTCCCTCCATGAAGCCTAGCCCTCCTTTCCCAACTCAGAAGCCCTCGGCTTCCCAGCAGGTGACCCGACCTAAGGCAGGGTTCCCTCCCAGGCTCGCTTGAATGCCCTATGCCACAGAGCCCTTTGGTCTGCGCTCCCTGCCTGAGGTCCCCATCTCTGCAGCAGTCACACCGAGGACAGCTCTGGGGAAGGCCTCCTGAAGACAGCTGAGCAACCCTGGGAGGTGAGAATTTGGCTCTGAATGCTGAATGGCTTCAGTCCCCATCAGAACTAGGCACTTCCTGGCGTAGGCGGGCACAAAACCTGGCCGCCCCCAACCTTGCAGGGACCTGCCAACCAATGTCACAACTGTCACTCAGCAGGTACAAGACCACCGCCATGGCGGGCCCAAGGAGCCCTCAAGGCCCTCAGCCCAGGAGATGGGGCCTCTGTGACTGGAAAGACCTGCCCTGGGGATTCCCCAGGGGACAGGATGGGGGCCGGTAAGATGCCCCCAGCAACTTACCCATCTGGAAGTCCCCGCTGCCCACGTCCCCGCTCCCCAGGCCGTCTGCAAGCAAAAGAGACTTATTCAGCAACAACAAATATTTATTGAGCTCCTACTGATGTCAGGCATGTTCTGGGCACCTGGCACATAGTGGGGAAGGTCTGGAAAACACAGAGCTGTTGCCTTCTTTCCATGCCGACAGAGGGCTGGCCTGTAAACGTCGGCTTGGAAGCCTCCATCAGAGAGCGTGTGGACCAAGGACAGCTGGGGTGGGGGCGGCGAGGGCAGACTGGCCCCTGGGTGAGGATGGGAGGAGGGGGCGGTAATCACCCTCCACTGTGCATGGCCCACCACCTTCCCCATCCGTCCTGACCATCCTGCACTGTGAGGAGACTGCAGCTGCAGAGGAGCAGCCACCAGCCCAGGGGCACACAGGTTATAAGTGAGGACCAGGGCTCAGGATGCAGCCCTTAGCCCGTCTCTTGAGGTGCCACTGTGGGCAAGTTTCCCGGGGCCTCTTTAAGGACCAGCGGGAAGAACCCTGACTCCATCCTTCATCCCCTCTACTTCCAGCCACCAGAACCCTCTGCTCACCTCCGGAGGCATCGTCAGCCAGCAAGTCCTCGTCATCAGAAAGGTCTGAATAGCTCCAGCCAGCCCGGCCCGCTGTGACTGTCTCCGCGTCCTCGGGCAGAGACAAGCCATCATATGCCCTCAGCCCATGGGTCACCTGTGGGAGACCACACAGCCAAATGCGTCACACTCTCCAGCTCCCGCTAAACCCAGGATCCCTCTCCTCACTTCAACGGGGAGTCGCACCCCAAAGCCCTCCAGTAGGTAAGTCAGACACGGTTTGGCTAAGAGAGTCAGGCTGGGGCTGTACCATTGGTTTTGACTCAGTTTCCCCAAATCCCATTAGGTTCTGGAGGCCTCAGAGCCCAAGTCTGCAAATTCACTGAGTCTGAATGAATCCTCAAATAAACAGACGATAAAATTAAAAAATCACGTTGGTAAGTGATGACTCTTCTTCCTTTGGGGAAGGCGAGGGATAGCCAGGACACGGGTTAGTGGACAGGGGGACAGGGGCCGGGTGACTGGGGCCAGCAAAGATGAGGGACATGGGCACCGGACGGGTGGCCAGGGTCAGCGTGGATACGGGACAGAGGCAGAAATTGAGGGTGAGTCAATGGAAGCTGCTGCCTCCCCCAGCAGCCCCCCAGGCCAGCTTGGCCACCTCTTTCTGTCTCAGTCTGGCCTCCAAATCTCTAGGCCACAGGGAACACACTCCAGTCACATTGGAGGAGCTCTGGCCCTGGTGGCCACACTGGCAGGCACATCTGTGCACCCAGAGGCAGGGAGTGGAGCCCAGCAGCTGGGCTGAATGGGGGCAGGACAGGCGTGCCATCAACTCCAGTGACCTCAGGCTGACCCTGAGCCCAGCACAAGCTCCATGGCGGCTCTCTTCCACAGAGGGCTGCTGAGACCCGGGGCCCCCCTGCCGGAGCAGAAGGGCCCCCACAGCCATAACACTTGCCTTTCTCGGGGGTGTGTGTGGACAATGAACACCTTTTTCCCCTTAGACAAGATGGAGATGTTTCCAAAGGAGTTTTACCAGACAACTTAGAGGAAAACAAACCCCTAGTGGAGCCCAAGGGAACCCCAGAGGCCCCAAGCGCAAGTGTGCACGGATTTGCTGTGGCCTCAGAACGCTCGTCCAGATGGCCTGGCATGAGCATCTTAGACCGTGTGCTGGCCTCGGCCCTATCTGGGGCGCCCAGCCCAGCCAAAAGGAAATGGTCTCACTTGCGAAACCCAAACCCAGCCCTCACTGGCTAGACAAGGTGGTGGCCGCAGGAAAGAGGCCCAAGGAGCAGGAAAAAATGAAGAGCCAGCCAGTCCCTCCCCTCCCCACCGCCCAACTTCACGCAGTCCATGTTCCTGGAGCCTCTGGCCTTTCTCACGCTGTTCCCTCTGCTGAAATGCCCTTCCTTCCTTTGTTTATCTGGCTAGCTCCAATTCGTCCTCCAAAATTCAACTAAACATCACCTCTTCCAACTACTCAGTAATAAAAAGGAACAAATCACGGATACGCAGGGCAATGGATAACTCTCAAACACGTTATGCTAAGTCAGACGTTACGTTAAGTCAGACACAAAAGACTCCGTGCTACGTGACCCCATTCATATGAAATTCTGGGGGAAAAGTCTAATCTACAGTGACAGAAAGATCAGTAGTGGCCCAAGATCAGACGTGGGTGGGGCTGGCTGGGCAGGGGCACGAGGGAACCTTCTGGAGTGATGATTCCTCTGCATATACGACTCATTCCCATTATTGAACTGCACATTCAAAATAGGTATGTTTTCTTGTTTGTAATTTATACCTCAATAAAGAGGTATAAGAAATCTCCCCGGGGAGACTCTGTGCTGACTCCCTGGCCCTCACAGCCCCCTCTGCCCCCAGGATGGGCTCTGGGCCCTCCAGGCTCACCTCCATTGGAATGAAAGCACCCTGAAGGCAGGGACTGGAATTAATTCACCTCTACCTTCTCAGCACCCCTGTTCAATTAATAGTTGAATGAATGAATGGATAAAAATGTCATCATCTATTAATTCTAGCTGCTTCCTGAAGATGACTTGCTTTGGAGGCACTGCCCACCCCAACGTGGTCTCTATGTGTCCCCCTTCCCAGGCCGGGGGCTCCCTGGGAGCAGGAGCTGGGTGCCATCTGGTCATCTTTGTGCTTTCAGTGCTGCCAAGCCTTGTGTGAGCTCTGCACTGCCCACATCTTAACCCCCGTTACGGCCTAATGTCCTGTCCCCTCCAATCCACAGGCAAATCCCTCCTCCTGTTCCTTCCCCTCCCCCCACCCTCCCCCTCTGGACAAGTGGCCATGCCTGTCCTGGGTGGCCAGTGGACTTCTGGGCCATGCCCATGAGGTTTGCCTCCAGGAGTGTGCTTGAGAACCTCCAGGAATTGGTGGGAAATACAGATTCCTGGGCCCCTTCTCAGAGCCACTGAGTCAGGCTCTCCCCACCCCAGGCAAGAGGGTTACAGTTGAGCACACTCAGGGGGTTCTGACAGTCATTGGTTAGGAATCACAGGACTAGCCCCCTACCAGGGGTTTTCCCTTGTCCTCCCCAGTGAGGGGTAGAGGGCAATGTTCCACTGGGTAGGGGGTGGGTTCTGAGCAGGCCCTGATTGACCTAAGGGGAGTGTGAGGCTAGGACTGGTGCAGGGGCACTGACACTGGGCAGAGGAGGTTAGAGGGGTAGGCTTGGATCCTTCCCACCTGGGGAGAGCTCTCTGTGTCATTGCCACACTCTCCCGTCCCCATGGAGCAAGGCCATGGAGGGCGTCCATGGGGCACACAGATTCCTGGCATCCCCTAGACATCAGACTGCTGTCTGGAAAGGAAAGCCCTGGTGGCGAGCAAGGCCCAGAGCCTCTCCGGGAGAGGGAAGCCAGGGGGTGCTGGGGACCGGACAGGAAATAGCAAAGTGAGATTCAACTCGGAAGAAATGCCAGGAACACACATCTGCAGGGGGAGGGGAGAGAGAATCCAGAGCTCGTTGGGGCCTGGACAGAAGCCCCCCACCCCAGGGAATGGGCCCTTCCCACATGCCAGCCTGCCCTTGCTTGCAGCCTCTTCCCCAGGACCCAAGGCTCCAGGGTCAGATCAGGGCCTGCAGCGAGGGACAAGCCAGCAAGAGCAGAGACTTCACTTGTGAAAAGCTGAAGATCAAAAGGTTCTAACAGCTGGATTTCACATCTGGGAGGAGAGATGGAGCCAGACGGGAAAGAGGCTCCCAGAAAGAGCCCAAAGGAGCCTGAGACTTGACCACAGAAGGGAACCTGGACTCAGACCTGGAAAGTGCAGGGTCCACTCGGGGAACACAAGGGCTAACATTCACTGAGCACTTACTATGCACCCGGCACTGCTTTCAGGACTTGCATAAGCGTTAACCCAGTTACAGGTATTAAACAGCCCACAGTAAAGAGGGGCAGACGGAGCAGAGACGGCTCACCTGCTTGAAGATCTAGCACATGGCAGAGCTGGCATTTGTCCCTGGTGGTCTGGCTCCGCTGTCTAAGCTCTCACCACTGTACCATATTGCCTCTGTAACGAGGGCAGTGGAATGCGCCGGAACTGACTGAGGTCACGGAGAGTCACTCTCACAGAATCTGTCCACTACACTGTATTTCACAGTTTACAGAGCGTTTCCTCAGCCTCAGTGTCAACTGACCCTGAAAATGACCCCCTGAGGTGGCTGAGCAGGGGTGAATGGCCCCCTCTCACAGCGGAGGGAATAGAGCTGGAGAAGTAACTTGCCCAAGATCACAGGTGAGCGGCCGGCAGAGCCAGGACTGACCCAGAACCTCGGGGTCCCTGCCCGAAGCCCCCTGCTGATCACAAAAGAAGGTGAGGCTGGGCTGGGCCTCCAGGCGGGCCATGAGGCCTAAGCAGAGGGCAGGGCCAGGAAGCCCAGGGCTGGCGGGTCTCCATCCCCGACTCGACCAGCTCTCAGGATGGCCCATGGGATGCCTGAGCTGGCAGTGGCCTGGGCCCATGCAGCGGGTGCCTAATGTCCCAAGGAGAGCCGTCAGTGGCTCCAAGGTCAAAGGCAGAAATAGAACCCAGGTTTCCTGCCCTCCAGCCCGTCTCCGGCTGTGAGTGAGCCCGACTTCCTCCCAGAGGAATCCAGAACTTCAAGCAGGCGTTGGAGCCGGATGGCGGGGCCAGAGAGGAGGGGTCCAGAGGGCAGACCTGGGCCAGAGAGGAAGGAGTCAAGTGGAGAGGGGGATTTTCCAGACCCCGCAGGTTCCTGGTGGGGATAGGGAAACAGCTGACTCATACAGGCCAAGGACAGAGGACTGTTCTAGCCTGACAAACAATTGCTTGGGGCAGGGTGGCCCCGCAATGGGCAGGCACTCCCTGAAACAGGCGACGGGGGGGTGGGTGGAGGCAGACTTCTGGGAGGCCATTGCTCCTTGAGGCTGGGCTGTGCCCAGGCCTCCTGGTGAGGAAGAGGGCACACACGGAGCTCCAGGTCCAAGTCCTGCAGAAGCCCTTGGGGACCAGGGACAGAGGCTGGACCCTCCTCTCCCGGCCTGGGTGAGGATGCAGAGGGAGCCAACGATGGCTGGGAAGAAGCGTGGAGGTGAAAGGTCAAGCCACAGAGAGGGGTCTAGAGGACAAAAAGGTTTGGGGTGGAGGAGAAGTACAGACACAGATATAGGATATAGGGTCTGGGGTTTTTTATTATTATTATTAAAAAAAACTTTTTTTTTTTTTGAGGAAGATTAGCCCTGAGCTAACTACTGCCAATCCTCCTCTTTTTGGTGAGGAAGCCCGGCCCTGGGCTAACATCTGTGCCCATCTTCCTCTACTTTATAGGTGGGACGCCTACCACAGCATGGTGTGCCAAGCGGTGCCATGTCGGCACCCGGGATCTGAACCGGCGAACCCCAGGCTGCTGAGAAGCAGATAAGTGCGAACTTAACCGCTACGCCACCGGGCCGGCCCCAGGGTCTGGGGTTTTTAAAGCAGTTTTTAAGGGAGAATCATGGGCCTCGCACAGGTTATGTGTGGAGATAAGAATTTCTGGTGCCACTAAAATTAAAGGAAGACGGCGGCACAGTGAAGAGATGACAAGAACAGTCAAGGCCCACTGAGGACTTTCCCCAGGCCAGGCCTTGTCCTAACATTGCATGGACCACCCTAATTAACCCC